TTAGCTACAAAGAATCATGATATTATGTGTATTACATTAAAGAAAATATAAAAATTAGTCAAAAGTGGTTAAATGATAGGAGAAGCCTTAGTTCCTTATTATAGATAAATACTACCTGTTATGAATATGTATAAAAATAAAAGATGTAATCATTCATAATTTATTTAGTAAATATCGGAGATAAAATTGATTATGCATAAAGAAAAAATGAAAATCTATCTGATCTTATCTAAGAAACATTAGAAACACTTGAAAAAAATGGAGGAGAAGATGCATATATTAATATTAAATATATGATACCAACATATGAAAGTTGTATGTTTTGATCGTATATATATTTCATATACATTGGAAATGAAAGAATTTAAATCCAATCAATAAAAGTTAATATATAAATATAATAATTAATGTCAATGTATACAGGAAAAAAAGATTTAAACAAGATAAAACAAAATTAAAAAAGCAAGTTAGAAAACTTATAAAAATGTTAAGTTAAATAAGTAGAATAGTTAACATCGATATATGATGTTTTTTAGAAAAACTTACATTAGTTTGCAGGAAAATATAGAGATGAAATTTCAAAAAATCCTGATTTTAGAGAAAAGTTTTATGAATTATGTGATAAAATGGATGTAAACCCAATGATATCAAAAAAAACAATGTGGAGTGATTTAGGTTTTGGTGATTTTTATAATGAGCTAGCTGTAAATTATTTTTAAATTATTAGATGAGAATTCTTGATATTTGTGCTAAAAAGTATTCTATTTATGGAGGAATTACTAAAATTACTGACATAATAGATGAATTTAGAAGAGTTTATGAGATGAAGGTTTCAAAATCAGATATTGAAAGAGCAATAAATACAGTATCATCTTTGGGAGGGTGTCATATTCATAATAAATATGTATACACAGTTCCATTAGAAATGAGTCCTGATTTTAATTTGTTATTAGAAGTAGCAGAAGAAGAAAGATTTGTGAATGAAAAAATAATGTAAGAAAAAAAAGGTTGGACGAAAGAAAGATTTTATTAAAAAATTTAAGTATTATAAAGGGAAGGATTAGTTTGGGCAGATAAAAAAACATAAACAAATATGGTAGATTATTATTTCCCTTCTCTATTAAATTCATATTTTGATCCATTGAGAAGTTAAATGATTCTATAATAATTGAAATAATGAGATTTAATATGAATGTGATCTTAAGATAATATCCATATTATTTGTTTTATCAAATATATAGGTTTTTAAATGATTAATATTTTTAGGCGAATTAAATTTCATCCTATACAGATTTTATCTTAAATATTTTTTTCCATCTTTGATTAATCTCTAAATTAAGCAACTATATAAGGCAGAGTAATCTTTAATTATTTAATTTTATTTTCTCTCTTTTAGTAAAAACATTTATAAATTTTATTAATATGTATAAAATGTAATTCTAACAATAATATCAAACTCAAACAATCATTGAGTAACTAATTAAGGAAAACGATTCTGATTTACTTAAGTTACTTTTAACTGATTCATTTATGTCATATTGTAGAAATACAGATCCATATGCTATAGAGTTTATATGTAATAATGTAGATAAAATGTTAAATATATTATTTGTTGATTATAATTTGATTCCAAAAGAATAATTAGAATAGTAGAGTGAATTGATTAATAATATTTGGGAAATTATAGAATTGAATTTAGAACCTATTTTAAAATAAATAGAAGTTAAATATTAGATATATTTTAGAATTATTGGTCAATCATTTTTGATTTAAGATGGAAATAGTTAGTTCCTGATACTTAATGGGGTATAGCATATAAATTATTAAACATTGTTAAAGAAAGAGATCCATAAATTCTCAATGATTTCTCGAATTAATCAGATTTTTTGGTTTCCTTTCTACCCTATTTAAAAATACATAGTGTTTCGTAAATATTAGTAGCATTTTTTGAAATAGGATTTCATTAATAGCAACTTGATTTTTTGAAAAAAGGTTTAGAATTATTCAAGCAAAATGACATTCTTAGTGTTATTAATTTCACATATATAGTACATGAGATAATGACAAGAATTTTAATTCATTAATTAATAGAATACATTTTGAATGAAGAATTCCTTAAAGTTATGTTTGATATTATAGAATAAGATGAAGGAAATCCTATGTATATAATCATATTAAATTAGAATATTAAAAAGTGCTGCTCATATGATATCTTTAATATCAAACTATTATACAATTCAGATGTAATAAATCGATTTTGATGATCCTGATTGCGAAGAATTAATAGCAGTTTTTAAGGAAACATCATTTTTTGCTAATTTTGATATTTAGAAGATTCATTAAATTTTTAAGAAATAGTTTTCAAAAAAGAAAGTGAGATTATTTATAATAAAACTTATTGAAGTACAAAAAAGTATATAATTAGATAGTTGAAAATTTAGTTCGTATTACAGACTTATAATTATGGGATAGAATAGCTGACTCTAACATAATGGAATCAATATTTGAATTGGTGAATCACTTTAAAGTTGCTGACATTTTTAGAACTTATGTAGAAAATATGATTATTTACATTTTTGATAAGGCTTTGAATGACAGCCATCCTTTTTGGGCTTATTATCTTATTTCCAGATATAGGTTATAAAATAAAAATATAGGTTTTCTAGACAGATTGATTTATTAATTCTAAGTAAATTTAGAATGGAAATTGAGTGATCATTCACAATACTAACCTTATGAAGCTATATTGAAAGAGATTGATGATGAATTAAAAATATCTAAAATTTGGAATATTTAAAAAAGGTTATTTATAAATTAAGAGGAGAAAAACAAAATTAAATTAGGAGAAGATTCTAGCACTATAAAAACAGACTCTGAATTAAGAGAATAAGAAATAGAACAACTCTCTATTTTAGAAGATGAAAGAATATGTAAAGGAAAATCTGCCTAAGAAATCATTAGTGGTTATAAAAAATATTCCACTCCCTCTTAATTATTTTAGGAAGTTCAATTAACTGTTTTTGATGATGTATCCATAAGTAAAAATGAAGCAGAATTTGATTTTCAATCAAATAGTGAAGACAATGATAAGATAAACAGTCAAACACTTGAATTTAGTGGAGATAGATTAGATATTTAACGTGATGAAAGGGTTATGTAATATTAAAATAAAAATAATTTGGATATATAGAAAAAAAACTCTGATAGAATGTCAACTTCTTTACAATATGATGATAGAAAGATTAAGAATTTGAGTAGTTCATTGTAAAGTTTTGATGATATAAATCAAAATTTTCTTTTTTTTAAAAGAAAAAGTAAATCAATTATGATTCAATCATAAGAACTTAAAAGAGAAAACAAAAATTTAAAGGAATTCAAAATAGAAATCTTAAAAAATACAAAAGTATTAAAAAAATAAGATAACAGTATTTTAAAAGTGGATGAAATTGATTTTTAGTCAAACTTAAAATTAGAATTAAAGGATCAAATAGATCCATAACAAGAAAAATAGTAAAATTCTTAAATAAAATGAATAATAACTATAAGCTAACATGAGTTTTAAAATAAATAATCATAATATATTAAATTATCAAAATTTCGAAATTTTTATTTAAGCATGCTGACAAATAGTAGCACTGATTATATTCTCGAAAATATTTTAAAAGAAATTTTGTCAGAAGTATTTGTTTTGAGTTTTTAATAAAGATGTTGTAATTACTCGAATAGAATATAAGATCAGAAGAAGAGTTGCAACAAATATAAGATTAATTATAGGATTATGAGAATTTGCATTAGTTAGCATAAACAATGAAGGTTATCTTTAAAGCTCTAAAAAAGAAATTTCAAGGAACAAATAATTAATAGAAATTTTTCAAATGTGAACAAAAATCTCATAACTATGAAAAATTAGAATAGGCAGTTTAAAAATATGAATAAGAAATAAGATTTCATATTAAAGTATGCTTAATAGGTATATAGATTTAGTTAGACTTAACACGAAATGAAGATTTTCATTGAAACAATTTAATAATAATTAGACGAATCAGAATAAGTAAGAAAAGAATATCTAAAAGAAACGACTTAATAGATTTTAGTATGTTTGATATTTAAAATAGAAACTAAAAAAAGAAAATTATAATTTGATCCAACAATTGAAGTATTATAATTAAACTTATAAATAATAATCGGCATTAAACTCTAGAAGAGATAGTTTATAAACAATAAATTAAATTATATAAAAAACAGCATCGAAGTCAAATCATTTAGGAAATAATTATGGGAAATAAGATTAGACTTAGATTTAAAATAATAGTTTAAATGAAGTAATTAAAAATAAAGATTCTTAATAATCGTTGGTATAAAGACCAATTCGATCAAAGTAAATATTATTTATAAATAAAAAGTCGAAATAAAAGTTATTCAGTGGGACTAAGTAAATAGAGCTTGATAAATAACAGTTTTATTTAGAAATTGATATAACAGTAGGCCTCAAAAAGAAAGAGCTTACATGCGGAAAGTCATCGATCTAAAGAATATGTAGATTAATAAAAATTATCTGGCAAATGAAATATTATTCATAAATTTTATTATTTTTAATGGAATAAATAATTTACAATGATAATTTGATGTTGTTACAATAAAAAATATTAAGTTATCCAAAAACTAATGAAGATCTTAAAGTACTTTTAATATATAAGTTAAGACTATGGTATCAATAATAAAAGTAACATAAATATTCAACAAATTGAATGAACTTTATCATCAATAATTATCATAAGAAGGGTAATTAAAAGTAAACTTTTAATAGATAAATAGCTCTGTAATTATTTAGAACTTACAAGTTATTAACTTGGAGAGGAAGTTTAACCTTAGTAAAAGTTTGCTGTATAACTTATACTGAAAGGATAAGTTGAAGTTTATAATTTGGAAGAGGGTTATATATATAAGCATGAAAAATATCTAACAACTTTAAATCCCTTATTTTATATAGAGGATGACTTTTAATTAGATAATACAAAATACTCGCAAAATTAGTTGGTATATAAAGCTGCATTCAATAATTCCATAATTTTGAAGATTAATAAAAAAGAATGTGATGAAATTTATAAATATTATGGGGAAATTTTTTTATTTAAACATAGAACTTTGTGTAAAATAATACCAGGATTAGGAGAATTGAATTCTAAAAGAATATTAGAATCGCTTGCCAATTAATTTGAAAATATTATTCTTCCAAATTGCACTTAAATTACAGAGTACATATTGAATTTATTCAAGAGAAAATTAGATTGGAGAATATATTTATTTTTTAGCGTAGGGTCATGTATCATTTTAAAAGAATAAAGAACACTTATTTAATATAGAAGAAAGTGGAATAATTGGAGATGAATTATTGATAGATCCTGATCAAGATTAAAATGGAATATTGACATATGAATATACTGTAATTGCTAAATCAGCATAAGTTTTACTATATAAAATTAAACTTAAAATCTTTACGCGACTTTTCCCTAATGCTATAATTAGATAAATAATAATATAATATAAATGTATATATAGAATTTATAAATATAGAAAAATAATTAATGAGACTCCTTGTTGGTAGTAAACCTATTGAGAAAAATAAATGTAATACTTAACCAAAAAAAGAAATTAAGAAATCAAAATCGACTTTGGTTTTAACAAAAGAATCAATTAAATCATATGATAAAGTAGATATAGTATTTTAATAATATTAAGTATAAATTTTACATAATATTAGGTACCAAAACATAGTAGAGTATTAAAATTTAATAATAATTTATTGGATAAATTCAATAAAAAGTTTAAAAAAGTAGGGAAAAAGATTACAATAAATGAATTTGTCTAATAAACAAAATATAGTGATGAGCCTTAAATAAAATTATTGGAAAAAGTAGAGAATCCTTATAATTTTGCATCGAATGTAAATACAGAAGGTTTTCTAAAGAAATATTATTCAAATCTTATAAGGATTGGATTAGTAAAACCCCCATTAAGAATAGCTCCTTAAAATTAGGAAGCAATTTAAAGATCAAGAATAATTTCTGCAATGAAATTGATTGAAGATACCCATAATTAATTGAAACCTAAAAGAGCAACAAGTGCTGCATATGGCAACACAGATCCTTTATTATCAATAAATGCTTTAGTGTCTACAAAAGAGAGTGAAATAAATGTGAGCACTTAGAAGCATATAGAGAAAAATAAAACAATGACCACATATAATCCAACACCAAGAACACATTCATAACCTTAATTAGGTTATCATAACAATGTTACTCCTAGATATTCATCTATAGTGGAAACCCCTAAATGTGATACTCCATAAACTAGATCAACAATGGCAAAATCATCGTAATAAGTATTTAGACCATATTCTGGATTCATGGATCATACTTCACATTTGTCTCAATAATCAGAAACGAATTTAAGATTAAAGAGACCAAATCAACATTTTTTTTGAGTATATTTTTGTAATAAATTTTATTTATTTTCTACATAATTGAATAACAAAGTCATCAACACTTTTTATTTGCATGAGTTAAGTAATCTAATCCATATCTTTTTCCAAATACAACTCCGTAATAAATTTACGAAATAATATTGGCTATATCAAGAATAAAAACAATTAGAATTACTAAATATCCAATTTTATATTTTCCTAACAAAATATATCCTATTTTAGCAAAAACTGATCCTCCAATTATCTTAAATATTAAAATATAATACAGCTAATCCTGTAAATAAAACTATGGTTTACCAATCAAGATATTGATTTGTAAGTAGAGTTATTAAATTATTTAATGAAATCATTAAATAAATAAATGCAGATGTTGCAGAAGCACATCTTGGAATTAAACCACTAAATAATAAAGTAGGAACCATAACAAATCCAGCTCCCATTCCTAAAAATCCAGATACAAATCCTGCTAGAAATCCACCAGCATAAATTTTAAAAAATCTACTGATTGGAATAAAATATCTTTCATTTGGTAAAAAATTGATTTAATTAAATTACTTCTCTTAATTAGTTCCAAATTGCCAAATTAAAAAATCATATAATACATTTGCAACTATTAGTACAAATATCATAATATCATTTTCCCAAGTACAATCTTCAATTCCAACATAAGAAGGTTTTAATGGATTAGTAGATCTCATTTATATAAAAATCTTAATTCTATATAATATTTTATACTTAATTTAATCCAAATGAACCTAAAATAAAGAGAATAGGCATTGGAGGTAATATATTTTCTGATTCTGATTTAAATTATGAGTATAAAGATTCGTTCAAATTTTAATTAGAAATTATAGATACTTTTCTACTATCTGGAATTTCATAATTATATTTTTCTTATGCTCCTTCCATATTTTATAACTCTATTTTATGATCAAGATTTGAATTATTTAAATTAGTGGTTTTATCTTTTGATGCATCATCATTAACTTTAAGTTCTGCTTCTTTAGCATTTTTTGCTATTTGACATAATTATTCTATATAATACCTTTTTACCAAAGAATTGGAGCTACAGCAAATAAAAATAACTCTTATAGAATGAGAGTGTATAATTATGGAAGAAATGAAGATAATGATGAACCTAGGTTTGTGGCAAATGGAACTGCAAGATTAAAGATAATTGCAATTCTGTAATTTATAATTGGTCTTCGCTCATCATCTGGATTTCTAAATTGTTTATTTCAATACTTTTCAAACATTAATAGAACTGTATTAAGAAGTGTACCTCCAAACATAAGACAGTATGCAATATGAGTTGCTTCACTTTAAGAATAATTAAGAATCATTTCTAAAAGTGGTCCTTTCAATACTCCTCCTAAAAAGTTACTCGATTTATACCTCCCATTCCTCCTAAAATGCCAATTCCAATCAATATTGGTGTCAGTATATATGAAATAATTATACCAGCTTTTGGAGTGAATGGAGAATCATGTTAACATGAATATATTTATGTTGCAGCATTCAATTCACATTAACTAAATTATCCACAAGTATGAAAAAATCCTGTAGAACCCATTACACACACTTCTGTCATTATTAAAATATAATTAAGTTATATTGTTAGTTTTAATGACAATTTGAACTGAATCCTCACATTATTATAATTTATATATTATCATCATGTATCATGATAAATTAACTTTTAAAATCTTCGAAAATTTTCAAGTTAGAATTATGTTCTATTTTCTCCGTTAATGAAATCATTTTTTAAGATTATTATTAGTAAAAAGAAAATTAATTGAATAAATAGTTTTTACTAATAGGCATATAAAATTAAAAATGATATCATTAAGATAATGATAAAAAATAGAAAAAATATAAGAAATAAAGTAGTGAATTTAAGAGGAAATAAGAAAGAAGTGGATTTGATTATGATATGTTTCTTATAATAGTTTGATAATTAATTATATGTTTAAACCAAAAAGTTAGAAAGATCAATAATAACAGCCATTTTATTTGAGTTGGTTTACAAATTAAGGGTACTTTAAATGATTGGTAATTCAGCTTAGGGAAAACCTCAAACGAGGAGGAACAGCACCACATTAATCTAGAAAGGATAAAATGCCAATAAAGAGTCCATATTAACAACCTTTGATTACTATAACGCATAATACTCCAAACCCATACTTAAGGACTATGTGAGTAGTATTTTCAGTAACGTAGATCACAGCCAAAAAGTTATTAAAATAACATCTAGCAGATATCTAAAATTTATGCAGGTTAGTTTTAAGGCACAATAAAAAGAAAAAGTCTAGAAAAACGATATGATGATGGTCCAAAGAGTGGTAGAGGATCATTTAAACCATAAAGAACATTCACATAATAAATTTCTAGACCTTTTCGTTGTTCTGAATAATAACAGAGTAGACCATAAACGTAATAAATCAATACTTTGGAACCTAAGTTAAATTGTGAAAATTTAGTAGTTGATAAATATGATGATGAAGAATTAACTCCAAGAGAATAAGAGGATATAGAAATTGTAGATATAGATAATAATGATGATTATTCAAATGAATCAAATGAAGCAGATAGTGATGAACATTAAAACTTATAATTACCAACTTAATAATAAGAATAAGAAGAATAAGAGATTCAAAAAAATGCATCATTTGTATAAAAATAAACTCAAGAACCAATAGCAAGTATAAGAAAAGCAACTGCTACTCTAAATAGACCATAAACATCTGAAGGTGCAAGAAGAAAAAGATTTATGAATTCCGATAAAAATGATTCAAAATAAGTATTTGAAACTAAAAAATCAGATTATGGGCTCTTGGATTATGAACCTAATATTATATAAGAATATGATTCAGAAAATTAAGAAATAATACAAATGAACTTGAATTTACTGAATTCTCAAAAGGTATTGAATTTCATTAATTTTTTAATTTAGGAATTGGTATCAATACGTTCTGGATAGAGAAAAAAGTAAACAGAGTAGGCTTTAATTGAAAATTATGATTAAAATGAAAGACCACCTTCAAGACATAAAACACCTCCTAAAGCAACTGGTTTAGAATTACCTATTTAATCAGGTAATTAGAATACTAATAGAGATGGAGTAGAAATCCCTATTAAGAATATGTATGCTCAAATTGATTAATAAAGTATTGATTTTAATTATTATTATTTAAAGTTAATCCAAATTATAATACAAGTGATTAAAAGAATAATGATGAATTTGATGATTTTGATTTAGGATTCTTTAAAATGAATAACAAAGTTAATCTCAATAAATTTTAATAGAAAGATGGATATTAAACAGATGGAGGAAGTAAATGATTCTTTTTTTAAGATAGAAAAATATGCCTCAGGATAAAAACATCCATAATCTGCTAATTTAAAGTATAATGGTCTAGGATTCCAAAATGTTTCATATTCTCCATTAAATACTCAAATTACTTCTGCTCATGGATTCAGAAATAATGAATAATAAATAGTTATCAAATACAATGCTAGCTCAAATCTTAATAAGAATTAAAACAATTAACCTGTTAAGGTTCCATTTCAAACTTCATTAGGTTAAGACTTTCTAAGATTGTTTGCTAATGATTGCATTGACTGATATTGTTATTATTATAATAAATAAACAGTTATTATACTTTAAATGTCAACAGCAGGGTACTTAAATAAATACAATAATAAGAAATAAAATGATACTAAATCTATTGTCAGTTAGCAATCCAGCAAAAAAGTATTCACTTCATAATTTCTTATAGAGTACCAATACGGATGTAAAGACAAAAGAAGATTTATTAAATAAAATGCAATAGAATGAAGAAAAACATCGATTGTTGATGATAGAAAATAATAAAAGAAGAAAAGAATAAGAAAAGAAACTTAAATAATAAGAAGAAGAAAAATAAAAATAAGCAGCTGCTTTACTTGATTAAAGAAAGAAAACTAAAGAATAAGCATATATTAATTATTTAAGAAATAATACTAAATAAATATTAGCTGATTATTAACCTAGATAAACTGATTACCCTAAATAAAATCCAAAACCTTAATTAGAAAAAAAAGTATAAACAAATTACAATAATTTCGAAGCCCTTGATCTAGAAGTATCCTAAGTTGCTAAAAATAAAAAATTGCCTTAAGAATTCTAAAAATAATGGGAAGATTTTGAAGTTATGAAGAAAAGTGAACTTTTGGATAGTCTTGACTTAAGTATGGCTTAAAAATAAAAACCAACTCCTATTTAAAAAAAAAATGATTTACAACAATTATTAGGATTACCTGAAGAATGTAGTGATGATGAAGAAGATTTATGGAAAAATACTATGAAAAATGGATAATTGGCTAAATAAAATACTAAACCTCCTTTATCAAAGCCTACTTAATGGGCAGAATAAGCTATTACTTAAGCTGATGATGTTTTATCTAAAATGAGTCAAAAACAAGGAGCTGAAAGAGATAAAAAAGAATTAAGCTCATAAAAATCATAATAAGAAACTTTGAATACTAAATAAAAGTAAATTTCTTCATCTGTACCCAAAAAATCTACTCCAAATAAAAATTCTGAATAGATGATGTTATTATAATAAAAAGAATAATAATTGCTGGCTTAATAAATGTTAATTCAATAATAATTGTAATAAAATACTATTGATAATAATAATACCAATCATTAAAATCCTGCTAGAAAACCACCATAAAATATTAGAATAACAAATAAGTAAATACAAAAATAAGCAAGTAGTGTTCATGATGAACAAAATCATATTTAAGAATTTCTTAGAGTATTTATTTTCAATAATATTATGATAGGAGGATCTTTAAAATATAAATGATATGGAAATGTAAATTTAACTTGAACTTATGAATTTAAATAAAGAAAATAAATAAAAAATTGAATAAGTATAGTAAAAATATGGAGTAAGAAATTTACAATCTTCTAATCAAGTCAATAGGATAGTGTTCATTTAAAATTAATATCCAAGTATGTTTCATTTATATTTTAGTAAAGTCATAAGAAGATTAGATTGAGGCATCTCTACTTAAATTAGATATGATGCTTTAATAACCTCCTCAAAAACCAATAGAAAAACCTTAATAGTAATAATAACAATAAATAAGCTATACAATTCCCTTATAATAGAATATATAATCTAATCCATAGTAATAATAAACTTACTAATAATCAATTAATTAATATAGTTAGTAATAATAATAATTAAGTCCTTAATAATATTAGCAATTATTAGAATAGTAGAATTAATTATAGTAATAATTAATAATGGCATAATAATAAATATAATAAATGTAGTAATAAACTCAATAATCAAATTAAAATATAAATTAATAATAAGGAGAGTTTCCTAGATTTCCGTCATATGTGCTTCATTAAGATCATTAATCATTTGTTTAAACATTTTCAAATGGTATTCCTTAATAATAATAATAACAATAATAATAATAATAACAATAATAATAATAATAACAATAATAACAATAATAATAATAATAATTATAATACTAATAATACTAATAATAAAAGTAATAATAAACATTCAATTCTAAACCAAGAAATGTTATCTCAAATGAAAATTAAAGTATTTCAATAATTTCATCATAATAAAACGATAAATATACATTTGATTTAGATTTTGGTGTTTAAAAAAATACATAAAATACTTATACTTAATAAGCCTAAAAGAAAATGACTCAAAAGTAATCATAAATTAAATCAAATATTCCAATAGAGGAAGAAGAAGAGTAAGAAGAAGGAAAAATAGAAGTTAGAAAAGATTTAAGAAATCTCCTTTTTGATTGAAATACATAATTAGTAAAATATTCTTTATTAAAATTAATTTAATGAATAATAATATTTTGGGCCTCTCTGCTTAACTTTTGCAAGCACAAGATATTCAGAAGTATTTAATAAAAGATGTAAATTTAATTTTTCTACTTAATAGTTTAATCGAACTACTTTGAAATTGAGATATTTCGAATAAGGATATAATGATGGAAGACCAATTTATTTGAACAAAGCATATTTAGAGAGACAAGATGAAAGGATGTACAATGAAGAGAGAATGAGGAAAGCGAAACCTATGTATAGATTAATGTTTGGAACTGAGTTTCACATAAAAGAATTGTCTAATAGATTAAGAGTGTTATTAAAGGAATTAGGAGTACATGTAGCAGCTTAAGATACTAGAGGATTAAATAGTTAAATAACCTTGGCGTTCGTAGAAATTTTAGAAGAAATATACATAATTTATAAATAGACTGTAATGTAAGGAGAAGAGAGTTAATAATATTTTATGAAAAGTGTAATTAATGTATTAGCAACATATAGAGGATATGATTTTATTATTATCGAACCTAATTACAATGAAGCTTAACTTTAAGTTCTTTATTCAACTATGTATGAGGTAGATAGTTAAATTGACAGGATTATGGCATAGACTCTACATTAAGAAGATGATTAATCTAAATAAATTATAGAATATGGAACATTTAATGATTTTATAAAACATTATAAGGATGTTATTAATATGGATCCATTAAATGTGTAATCTAATTGGGAAATTTAATTTTAAGAAGAACAATAGTAATAAGAAACAAATTAGATTGAAATTATATAAGATAGAGAAAAAATTAATTATTTATAAGATTTTAATAAACAATTTCATAATGTTTTATTGAAAGCTTCTCCAGAATTTTGGCCTTTGTTGGTTTTTGATTTATTAAAAGATTTATGCGATAAAAAATTGACTAATTAAGTTTTGGAATGTAAATTTTATGATTTATTAAAAAATGTAAAGGCTGCATAATATTTATTAATTTATAGAAAAGAAATTGTAAAATTTTTAAATGAAAAGAAATTTTGGGAAGTGTAAAATTAATAATAAAAACCATAGATTTAAAATAATGGTACAGCAACCTCAAATCATTAATTGTTAGCTAAAATAGGAATAGATGTTTAATAAGAAGGAATGTTAGGATTAAAAAAATAAGAATTTTAAAATTAACCAAAAGTTTAAACAACATTTTAAGAAGGTCTAATAGAATTTGATCCGGAATAATATGCAAGAATGGAACAATAAACTCTAGTTAGATATTTTCCAACATCAACAAGAACAGATAAATTAGAATATTTATATATAAGAATTGATCCATTACCTAAAAAACCAATAAAAGAAGATAAATTAATACCAATTTCAGAACTTCCAGAATGGGCAAGATAAGCATTTGATGGAACAAATAGTTTAAATGTGATTTAATCATAAATATATCCAAAAGCATTTTTGACTGAAGAAAATTTATTAGTTTGTGCACCAACAGGAGCAGGTAAAACAAATATAGCATTATTAACAATACTTCATGAAGTATCTAAAAGAATAGATGAAAAAGATAAAAGATTAAAAGATTAAGATTTTAAGATAGTATATATATCTCCAATGAAAGCATTAGCTAGTGAAATAGTTGAAAAATTTTAGACAAAACTTCGATATTTGGGAATAAAAGTAAAAGAATTTACAGGAGATATGTAATTATCAAAAAAAGAATTATAAGAAACTCATATAATATTAACAACTCCAGAGAAATGGGATGTTATAACTAGAAAAACAAATTAAATAAGTGAATAATTAAAATTATTAATTATTGATGAAGTTCATTTACTTAATGATGAAAGAGGTCCAATATTAGAATGTGTAGTTGCTCGTACACTATTATAAGTTTAAAGAGCTTAAAGACATATAAGATTAGTAGGTTTATCTGCAACTTTACCAAATTATTGGGATGTCGCAATATTTTTGGAATGCCATAAGGATAGTGTGTTTTTTTTTGATCATACTTTTAGACCAGTTCCATTATGTTAAAAATTTATAGGATGTAAAGAACCACATTAAGCACCTGCAAAGGGATAAAGAAGAAGAACGAAAAAAGATATTTAAAATGAATAAGCATATGAATTAATGAGTGAAGTAGTTAAGCATAATAAATAAGTATTAATATTCGTACATTCTCGTAAAGAGACAGTTGTATATGCAAAATGGATATTAGAAAGAGCTAGTAGATTAGGTGATAGACATATTATAGGTTAGACTAAAATAAATTGTACAAAAATTAATGATAATGAATTAAAAAAACTATTACCTTATGGATTAGCATTTCATCATGCTGGTATGTTAAGAGCAGATAGAAATTCAGTTGAAAGATTGTTTTTAAGTGGAGAAGCTAGAGTATTAATAGCAACAGCAACATTAGCTTGGGGTGTTAATTTACCTGCATTTGCTGTTATAATTAAAGGAACAGATGTTTTTGATGTAAGTAGAGCAGATATGTAAAATTTATGTGTTTTGGATGTATAATAAATGTTTGGTAGAGCTGGAAGACCATAATTTGATGATAAAGGAGAAGCTACTCTTATTACTGATTTCAATAATGTTGGACATTATATGGGTATGTTAAATAATGCAAGTTATATTGAAAGTAAATTGTTGACATTTCTAAGAGAAGCTTTAAATGCAGAAATTGTATTAGGAAATATTACTAATTATACTGAAGCATATAATTGGATGTGTCATACATTTTTAAGTATTAGATTAAGAAGAAATCCTTTACATTATGGTGTGCAAAGAGAATTTGATGATTTAGAATTAGATTGTGATTCTTTAGTTTAAGAAAAGATTGATTAAGCCTTAAAATAATTAGATGCATTAAAATTGATTAGGTACGATACTAGAAATCATTTAGTAACATCTACTGATTTAGGTAGAATTGCTTCTCATTATTATATTAAATGTGAAACTATGAAAATTTTATGTGATGAAATGGGTTTATCATTTGATTAATAAGAAAAATAAAAATTTAATGATAAAAGTTAATATTAATTACTTAAAATAATTGCTAAAGCCAAAGAATTTGAAATGATTAGAGTAAGACAAGAAGAAACTAAAGAATTATAAAAAATATATGATGATGGTTGGGCATTTGATGAAGATCCTAATATTAGAAATGATTAATTTGAAAATGAGATTGCTATTGATACTTAAGAAAAAGTTATAGCACTTATTAGTGGATATCTTGTTAAAATGAATTTTGAAAATTATGCTTTAATTATGGATACACATATTATTATTTAAAATGCTATTAGATTATTGAGATGTATGTTAGATATGGCAATAAAAAAGAATTAAGCATGTATGGCATTAGAACTATTGAAATTATGTAAATCGATTGAAAATAGAATGTGTCCAAATTTAAATCCTCTATATTAATTTAGTAAAGATAACTTTTAAGGTTTTAATACTAGAAAAATAATGAAATCTAAAGATGCTTTTATGCCAAGAGCTTGGATAGGTGCAATATCTGATACTAATATGGATGCATATAATATGAAAAATGAAGATGACTCAGTTCTTGCTAAAATACTTACAATTCCTTAAAATTTAATTTCTCAATTTAGAGTTTATATAAATACTTTACCAGATTTGGATATATAATATAAAGTTAAACCAATCTCGTAAACTATTTTATAATTAGTTGTTCTAATTACTCCATCATTTACATTTAATAACAAATGGCATTTAAAAAATGAGCCTTTTTGGATATTTGTAGATGATTCTGAAGAATTATTGCATTCTGAAGAGTTTTTAATGGATATGGATACTATAAACAGATAAAATACTATGTAAATATCATTTTATGTTCCATTTAATTCAAAATGTAAGTTTTATCATTTGACAGTTGAAAGTGATAGATGGATAATGTTAGATGAGAATTAATCAACAGTTAAAATAGATTTATCAAATGTATTAATGCAAGATGATTAGATAGACTTTACTGAGCTTTTAGATTTACAACCTTTACCAGTAAGTGCATTAAATAATTGTGAATTTGAATAATTATACCATCAGTATAAATACTTTAATCCAATATAAACATAAGTATTCTTTGGATTATATAATACAGATGATAATATATTGATAGGAGCACCAACAGGTTCAGGTAAAACAATAATGGCAGAATTTGCAATGTTGAGAGTATTCAAATAGACACCATAATTTAAGGTGGTTTACATAGCACCTTTAAAGGCAATTGCAAAAGAAAGATTGAAAGATTGGACAAAGAGATTAAAAGAGATAAATAAAAGTGTATTAGAATTAACAGGAGATTATACTCCAGATTTATAAGCACTTTTAAAGGCTCATGTCTTAATAACAACTCCAGAAAAATGGGATGGTATAAGTAGAAGTTGGAATAATAGAGAATATGTAAGATAAACATGTCTATTAATTTTTGATGAAATTCATCTACTTGGTTAAGATAGAGGTTAAGTATTAGAAGTTATAGTTAGTAGAATGAATTCATTAAGTTATGATACAAATAAGAAAACTAGAATGATTGGATTATCAACAGCTATGGCAAATGGATTAGATGTCAGCAATTGGTTTGGAGTTAAGAAGGGTAGATTTTATAATTTTAAACCTTCTTGTAGACCTGTTCCTGTAACTATACATTTTAATGGATTTCCAGAAAGAGCCTATTGTCCTAGAATGGCTACTATGAACAAACCAGCATATCAAGATATTAAGAGATACAGTGATGGAAAGCCAACAATTATTTTTGTATCTTCTCGTAGACAAACTCGTTTGACAGCTTTGGATATTATAGCTTTGGCTATGTAAGAAGGAAATGAAAAATAATATATTTAAACAACTGATTAAGAATTAGCTTAATGGTGTGTGAAAGTAGATGATACATAATTAAAATCTGTTCTATAATATGGTATTGGAATTCATCATTCTGGTTTAGATAAAAATGATCGAACTATTGTTGAAAATCTATTTGTTTAAGGAAAAATTTAATTATTAATAGCTACTTCTACTTTGGCTTGGGGAGTTAACTTTCCTGCAAGATTAGTTATTGTTAAAGGTACTGAATTCTTTGATCCAAAACTTAAAAAATATGTAGATTTTCCAGTTACTGATTTACTATAAATGATAGGAAGAGCTGGTAGACCTTAATATGATACTGTAGCTACTGCTTGTGTATATGTTGAATAAAGTAAAAAGAATTTCTATCGAAAATATCTTAATTCTCCTTTCCCAATTGAATCAAGTCTACTTTAAGGAATATCTGATCATATCAATGCTGAAATATCTTCTGGAGTCGTTAAGAATAATTAAACATTCATTGATTGGATTACTTGGACTTATTTCTTTAGAAGATTGGTTAAAAATCCTACATTCTATAATTGTGATTCCACTAATAGTAAATAAATATAAGAATATCTCAATAACCTAGTTGCTAATACTATCAGTGAATTAATTACATCAAAATGTATCATATAAGAAGATGGATAATATGAATCAACCTTCTTAGGCAAATTAGCTGCCTTTTATTATCTTAAACATACAACATTAAAACATTTTGATGAAAAGATTTAGAAAGATAGCAAATTTGAAGATTTATTATTGACTTTAGCATACTCTAGTGAATTTGATGAAGTACCTGTTAGACATAATGAAGAACATTTAAATGAGGCCTTATCAAAAATGTGTAAATTCAAATGTGATAAAAATAAAATGGACTGTCCTAATGAAAAAGCATACTTGTTGATTTAAGCTCACATTTTCAGATTAAAATGCCCGATAAAAGATTTCGAGACAGATCAGAAACTTATTTTAGATTCTTGTATTAGAATAATAAGTTGTATGATAGAAATATCTGCTCATAAAGGATATCTCTAGACTACTACAAATATTATTTATGTGTTGTAAACAATTGTTTAAGGTTTTGTAAGAAATGATGAGTAGATTTTAATGAATTTACCTCATTTACATAAACTTAAATAAGAATAATGTTTTAACAATGTTCGAACTATTAAAGAATTACTATAATTTTTTAAAGTAATTATATAAATCTATATTTTTAGCTTAAAGAATTTGATATTTTCTTACAAAAATATGTTCCTTAAAAAGAGAATATTGTTGAAATAATGAAAGCTATAAATGCATTACCGGATGTCTAATTAGTTTATACTAAAACTGAAACATAATTAAAGGTAAATTTGAAAAATGAAAGCAAACCTGATAATAGGGTTTATATATAAAAGCTTAGTAAATAAAGAGAAGCTTCATGGTGGCTAATTCTTGGAGAAGAAGATCGTATTGTTTAAATGAAAAAGGTTTATTTGAAAAGCACAGCCAGTAAGGATCTTGATGTAGTTGATTGGAATAGAAATTACAAATTATATTTGATGTCAGATTCTTATTTGGGTTTGGATCAGATAATAGATATAAAATGATTGTTCCTCTTTATTGTTTAATAGATAATTATAATAATAAACTATAAATTTCTATAACAATATATTTATAAGGAATGAATAATGTTCAATAATAAACTATAATTAATATTATTTAATGTGATAAATCATCAGGTTTGCTTGGTCTTTAATATTTTAACTGTTATCTTTTGTTCTGTCAATACATATACAACTCCTCCCCATCCAGATAAGGCATCTCTATCACAACCACTTACTAAACTTTAACCAATGACTTCTTCTAATTCTTCTGGACTCATATCAGGCTTAAAAAAAGCTTCACATGCACCATAAATACTAATTATTATTTATAAATTCTATACTAATTTCCTCCTGTTCCTCCAACTTAAAAATCATCTAAATCAGATTTACATCCAATAGAATCATAAGTTGCTAAAATTGGCTTACCATTCTCTAGTCCTGCTACTATTGGAGTAACAAAAAATGGACCAAATCTTTTATCTTAATAAACATTCATACCTTCTTTCATATAATGCTGATGCAACTAAATTTGCAAATGTTGTTGGTTTCATTTTTCTATTTTCTTTTAAATTGTATAAGTTTATCTCCTTTTCCATCAAAGCATAACTATAATTATTAACATTAAATTTACAATGTATGAATATCTGTATTAAGACCTGATAATGCTAACAAAATGTTGTCCTAAATCTTAAACACTTTTTGATAATTTGTTGTGATTGTAGACATTTATTAACCAAATCTTCTATCACAAGCTACAGCAATGCAATTTTTTCCTTTCATTCCAACTATGGATCCACCATTATATTCAAAAATTCCAGACATTAGGATAATTTAATTATATATATTATATAAAATTTAATATTAAAAACACATGTTTTATAAAACTAATAAACCTTTTGTTTTATTTCTATTCACTTTTAAACTGTATTTAAATTTTACTCACACTTTATATTCACAAATGATACCATTTTTTTTTTTGGCTCTAACCAGCCTTTTCATTATATAAAAAAATAATAAATAAAAAAAATTACAATTATTAATTTTTAACTAATTGAATAATGCTTTATGTTTTGATTCTGATAAAGGAAAATAATTGAGATGATATAAAATTTATATTAAAAAATACCTTAATAATTAAATTTTTAAAGTAAAATGTTTCATAGAAATAAGGGAATAAATGAGGCTTATAATTAATAAGAATAGATGGTGCCTCTAAATATAAGAATGATGAAATAGATAAAAGTATCGGATTGTGGGAATAGAGCAGTATTAGATTAATTTAATATCACTTATTTAAATGTGATAACTCGAAAATAGAATTGCATTCAATAATAAAATAAAGGAATTATAATAATTAATGATGATACAGGATTTATTGGTCTTATATTAAATTTAATATCAGAATTTGATCAAAATTTATTTAATAAAATCAATTAAGATTGTCCCAATTTATTTTACTATAACTTTATATTGAAAGCTAGAGTAAACAAAAAAGATATTGTCTTTGATATATAGACTATACAATAAGTAAATTAAGCATCAATGATTACTTACTAAATTATAAAGATCTTAACTTGGGCAAGATTATAAGAAGGATAGAGATAATAGATATAAGCAAGGGGAGAAAATGAGGAAGATTAATAGATTCTCATTGAAGTAAACAATTTAAATGAGGATGTAAAAAATAGTTTTTATGTTAGATCTTAACATTTTTAAGTTAAAATTCAAAATAAGGAAAAAGCTTAAATGAAATTATATAGCATTTCAAAGCCATGAATAATATTGAACTCCAAGATATCAAGTAATTTAATATATTTAGATATAGAAAATCAATAGCAATCTTATTAAAGGAGGGTAAAATTAAAAATGAAAGTGAAGTTTATCACCTAACTTCCCCTTGATGATTCATATTATATATATTAGTGCTAATTATTAGGATTCCTACATAAATTCATTTACCTATAATTTATATATATTTTACTATTCTTTATTTATTGACTTCTAAATAATTTAGTAGTAGCAAAATAACATACGAAAATAGAAAATCACAAGAAAAAAAGAGATTAAAATTGAAACAGAATATTTCATAAATGAGGATTATGTTTACTATCATATTAAACTTTTCTTTATTNCTTTATGTTTTGATTCTGATAAAGGAAAATAATTGAGATGATATAAAATTTATATTAAAAAATACCTTAATAATTAAATTTTTAAAGTAAAATGTTTCATAGAAATAAGGGAATAAATGAGGCTTATAATTAATAAGAATAGATGGTGCCTCTAAATATAAGAATGATGAAATAGATAAAAGTATCGGATTGTGGGAATAGAGCAGTATTAGATTAATTTAATATCACTTATTTAAATGTGATAACTCGAAAATAGAATTGCATTCAATAATAAAATAAAGGAATTATAATAATTAATGATGATACAGGATTTATTGGTCTTATATTAAATTTAATATCAGAATTTGATCAAAATTTATTTAATAAAATCAATTAAGATTGTCCCAATTTATTTTACTATAACTTTATATTGAAAGCTAGAGTAAACAAAAAAGATATTGTCTTTGATATATAGACTATACAATAAGTAAATTAAGCATCAATGATTACTTACTAAATTATAAAGATCTTAACTTGGGCAAGATTATAAGAAGGATAGAGATAATAGATATAAGCAAGGGGAGAAAATGAGGAAGATTAATAGATTCTCATTGAAGTAAACAATTTAAATGAGGATGTAAAAAATAGTTTTTATGTTAGATCTTAACATTTTTAAGTTAAAATTCAAAATAAGGAAAAAGCTTAAATGAAATTATATAGCATTTCAAAGCCATGAATAATATTGAACTCCAAGATATCAAGTAATTTAATATATTTAGATATAGAAAATCAATAGCAATCTTATTAAAGGAGGGTAAAATTAAAAATGAAAGTGAAGTTTATCACCTAACTTCCCCTTGATGATTCATATTATATATATTAGTGCTAATTATTAGGATTCCTACATAAATTCATTTACCTATAATTTATATATATTTTACTATTCTTTATTTATTGACTTCTAAATAATTTAGTAGTAGCAAAATAACATACGAAAATAGAAAATCACAAGAAAAAAAGAGATTAAAATTGAAACAGAATATTTCATAAATGAGGATTATGTTTACTATCATATTAAACTTTTCTTTATTGATATCATTTGAAGTAATATAAATATTGAATTTTTCCCTAAAATCAACAATCATAACTTTTTCGAAATAGAATGTGTATTTTAATGATAATTTTAATTGAATAACTACAAATGATAAAGTGTCTAATTCTGAAGTTAGAGAAAATAGTTAGAATTTAAGAAACCATTCTTAAATACAAGTAGGAGAAAAAAAATTCTAAAATACTTAATTAACAATATCATAATGACTTTAATCAATTAATGAATAGTTTTCATACCATACAAAATACACAAAGGAAATATTAAAAATTCAATTTTAAATTAAAAAAATTGATTAAAACTACTAAAGATACATTGTTTTAAGAAAAAAATCAAAAACATCACATATTTTTTCAAAGATAAATGAAATAAAATGTATATGAAAAGGAATAAATTTAGAGACTAAATAAAACTGAGGCACTCAAATTTAATAAAGAAACCAATTAATTCAATGGTTTTAATATAAGATAGAGGATAAAAAAAATTACCCTTAAAAATCATCATGTCCTAAAAAAACTTTTATTGGGTCTGAATCATCAATGGAGGATAAAAGTGTAACTATTATGTCATTTCATTTAAAGGATATGAAAGAAAATGTCTAATCTTCAAATATTAAAAAAATTTGTAATGATATGGGTTATAATATAATAAAATTTGATCAAGATTATGATAAAATAAACAATAGAATAAATGGTTAAGGATTTTTATAAATAAGAAGAACAAGAAATGAAAATAAATTTAGAAATTTGTGAAAAATTTAAGTATAAAAAGGAATAAATTTAACAGATTAATCTAAGATCTAATAGATATTATTTCAAAAAAATATATAATAAAAAATATATGTTTAAATTGAAACTTAACCAAATTTAAATTAAGATGAAAAATTGTTTAATAATTTTTTAAAGTTTTAAAAAAGATAGATAGGATAATTTATTTGAGTATTTCTTATTAAATATAATATTTTTAAAATAAATCATTTTCTATATCTGAATATTTGATTTTTTGACAATTAATGACCTTAAAATTAATAAAGCCATTGAAATTATATTCTAATGCTAACTTTATACATTTGCGTTAAATTTGATAAAATGATAACATAATAACATAGTGTCGTTAAAGGTTTTTTTGCATAATATATTAAATTTATCAAATATGGAATATTTTTATTTATAGAGAACAGGAAAGTTCAAATAAATGATAGAATAGTAAAAATCTGAAATGTAAAAAACATAAAAATTATCTCAGTAAAAGTTTGATATATTGGAACACTTAAAAGCATTTAAAAGCAATGATTAAAGAGAATAGTATTAAATAACTTCTATATATAAGATAGGTCAAATAGATAAAGATTAAGTAATTAGATTTGCCAAAGTTAATGAAAAGAATATATTCAGAAAAAAAAGTCAAATTTAACAGTGAATTATAAGGAAAACAAAATGAAAATTCTGAAGTTAGTATTACTAAATCTAAGATAAATCCAACAAGGCTTAAGACAAATGGTGAAATTCCAATCATAAAGCCTAAATTAGCTAAAATAGCATCAACAGATAGGGTTTAAACAGAATATAAAGAAAGAAAAGATTATCTGAATTATACTTTCGGAACTTAATTCAGACTTCGAACAACAAATAAATCTCAAACTAATTGTAAAAGTATGGTGGAGTAAAAGAGATCTACCTCTCAGACAAGTAGAGTTATGACTACATCATAATAAAGAGTTATTAACAAAATTTTTTAATGAAACTAATTTATTTATTATATAATTTTATTATGAATTAATAAAGTTTTGTGTAAGTTAATTAAGAACATGATTAAATTAAAAAAAGAGTCAATTCACTTAAATTTTAATTAAAGGATATTGAGTAAAAAAATTATGTTTTGCAGAGTAAATTAAAGGATTTTAGATAATTATCACCAAATGTAAATAAATCACCAATATCTTAATTACAATTATAATTGGGATTAGATAGAAAATTTATAATGGAGTAATTTAAACCAATAATAGAGAAGGAAGGAATTTATGTAAGAAATGAGAGATTAAAAACAGAATCATATTTACAATAATCAAAAAACATAGAAATTTAACAGAAAAAAAAGAAAGTAAAATAAATTGAAGGTTAAGATTAAGAAATATTAAAAATGAAGGCTAAGTACTATGAAAAAAAGATTAATGAAGTTCGTTAACGATAGTTGTAAGAAATCGAAATGAATAAATAAATAGTTCATAAAAGAATAGTTGAAATAAATAATTTAAAGAAATAAGAATAATAATTATTAGGAGAATTAACTCTGTATTATGTAATGATTAATTTAGGGCAAAATAAAAAGAATAATCGTTGAATAACAAGTTTTCGAATGTCTTACTTTCTTCTGAGAATAGTAAAATGTTACCAACGGTTTAGAAAACAAATAGTAGAATGAGTTAAAAATCTAATTCTAAAAATAGACCAATGTTAGGTAGTCATTCTGTTTAAAAATCTGATAAACTATAAGATAGGTTTTAGAAAAGTGATACAAAATAAAATTATAATTCTTTTATTGATTATGATGAGGATATGAAATAGAGAATTGAATTAAGAAAGAATTCATAATCAATAGATTAATTAAATATTGGTTGTTAAACAAGTTTTATAATGACTGAAAAAAACTAAGAAAGTGTTTAGTATTCATAAAACTTTGATTCATTTTGTAGTAACAATTAGGAACAATCTATTGAAATAATGTAAAAAAACAAGTTAAAATAGAAATCTTAAAAATGAAGTGCACTTATTATTATAAAACTATTATTAAACTATTGTTTTATTATAAAAATCATATTCTTATGTAAAAAATATGTTAAGTAAATTAAATATTAACATATGAGATAAGATAATCACAATTGTTTCAAATTTCTATATTGTTATTATCATATTGATTCTGAATTTGAAAAAATAAAATTAAATTAATTAAAAAGGATTCAATGGGCAAACAATATGCTAGAGAACCAGCAGTTGCTAAAAAATCAGCAAAAGCTAAAGCAAGTGATTTGAGAACACACTTTAAGAATACATATGAAGTAGCTAGAGCAATCAAAGGATAAACTCTTGCTTAAGCACTTAAATATTTACAAGATGTCTTATAGCATAAGAGATGTGTACCATTCACTAGATTTAATGGAGGTGTAGGTAGAACAGGCTAAGCTAAAGAATTTGGCAGATCATAAGGTAAATTAATTAAATATTTAATTTCTATAGGTAGATGGCCAGAAAAGAGTGTAAGAATTGTATTATCACTTTTATAAAATTTGGCAGCTAATGCTTAAGTTAAGAATTTAAGTAATGAAAAATTAATCATTAATCATGTTTAAGTTAACAGAGCTTAAAAAGGCAGACGCAGAACATACAGAGCTCATGGAAGAATTAATCGTATATTATTTTATTAATTATTTATAGCATTCCTTTCTTCAAATGCACATATTGAAATTTGGGCTGCTGAAAGAGATGAAAATGTTAAGAAAGAAACTAATAATAAAGTTGTTGCTCGTTAATCAAGAAAATAAGTTGCTAAGTAAAGATTAGCTATTGGTGCATGAGAATACATTAATATTAGTATAATATCTAAGTTAATATGTTTTTCAATTTATTTTCTACTTTTTGTTTTATATTTTCATTAATTATTATCTCAAGCTTTATTTTTGTATCTAATGGAATAGAAAATGTTTAACTTCATATTTTATTATTAAGAAATAGTTCTTGAAATATGATTTTGGAGTAGGAAATATTAGATATATATTATATAAATAAGTATTTACATTATATAAGTCTATGATAGATATAAAATAAATAAGGAAGTGATTAGATAAATAAGTGAAAACAGTTTAATACTTTAAATAATTCTATAGAGTTATTACTCGTATAACTCAACTCTTTTATTCAGAATCTAGGGCAGGGAAATCATTAGCATTCAATGAGTTAGGTTTAATATTTTATTTTGGAGTCTTTTATAATACTGTCTTTGGAATCAATTAATAATTTGATTATTTTTGCTATTATTAAGACTATACTTATTATTATTAATGATGAACTTCATTTTTTTATACATATTACTAAAAAATAATAAATAATTACATTATTCCCTCTATCTCTTTGTCCTCCTCTTCTATCATGAGTTCTTCCTCCTCTTTCATTTCTATCTCCTCTATCTTATCTATCTTATCTATCTTATCTATCTCCCTTATCTTTATTCTGATATTTCTCTTCATGTCTATCATCTTCTTTTTCATTTCTATAATATCCATAGTTTCCTCTTCCTCTATTTCCTCCTCTAGGTCTAGATTTTTAATAGTGATGATCTTTCTCTTATTCTTCATGTTAATCATTTCGTTTATATTCTTATTAATCAAAATCTTATTATTCAATTTTCTTAGTCATCATTTAACATTTTTTTGAATTTATTTATTTATGAAATTCATCCAAATAATCAACATTTTACATTATTACAGAATCTATTTAAAGTTCTACTTTCTTAGACATCAAAAAATCAAATATTTCAACTGCATAACCTTCAGTTTAAGATTTTAATATTAATTTAACATAACTCTTGTCAGCTTAATATATTTCTTCCTCATAGACTAATTCTTCTTTTACAAACCCAGATTTTTATAATGCAACTTTTATTATTGCTGCTTAAGGACCTGGAATTTTTATTTATATTCTCTTTCTCTCTGTTGGAAAATAAGGTCTTATTATTAACATTTAATGATCAAAATTCCATAATTATTTATTGTATTTATTTAGAATCTAAAAATTCAAATATATTCTATACATCAGTTAAGATTAAATGATATTTTTTACGAGTGTTTAATTCGTTTTAGACGTATTAGCTTTTAATCGAATTTTCTCTTTATACCACTACATATTGTAGCAAATAATAATCTGGCTTTAACATATCAGTCTCGAATTTTCTAACCAAGTACTCATTATTTAGTAAATTATCATATTTAAACAATTCAATCATCTAATATATTATAGATTAGTTAAATTTACAGCTTTCTCTAGTCTTGAATATTAATCTTCTGGCTAACATTATATTTATAGATTTCATACCTTATCAGATAGAATTTCAGCAGTTATCATTACTAAACAACTATTGATTCAAATTATTTATCTATTTAATTTTCATCACAAAATAAGAAACTCAAATCAAATTAACATATTACAATTTACAGATAATAACTAAGTGCCTTTGATAACATTAAACGATTCATCCTTTCTGAATTGTTTATTGTATTCAAAAATAAAATCTATATTAATTCTTTAATTCAAAAAACCCATCATTTTCATATTTATATATATGATAATTAAATATTTTCTAAAAATAATTATATTGGAAATCAGATATCAAAGCTGGCAAACTTCACATTTTTGCTAATACTCTTATTTTATATGGCCTTCATTATCTAAAGTATAGCATTTAATAAGGTTTTAATGATTACAAGATAATTTATGTAAAACTTCAATTTAGCAAGGACTACAAGGTTGAGAACAATAATTAAGGCATTTAAAATAATGTCCGCATGATCTTATTTTTTCACATGGATTTTGACATCCAATAAATGTTTAAAAACATTGAATATTCATCTAATGTCCACATTCAAATGTTTTTTATATTTTTTATGGACAAGGAGAACATTCATCACCACATTGATTATAGCAAGGAGTGTTATGACCACATTATCTTTATTTTTTGCATACCTTTTAACATTTTTTGTTCTGAAAACATTAGGTTTTGATACTATGACCACATTCTAATTATTTAACAACTTTTTCTTTACAGGGAGGACATTTTTCAAAGCATAATCTATCGCATTTTTATTGATGATTACATTGATATTCTCGTATACACTGTTTCTTACATTTGAAATTTTATTAATAATCAAGTTTGTCTTTGCATAAAAATTAATATTCATGACCACACTCTAATGTTTTTACAACCATTTTTTCACATGGAGTGCAAATTTCAGAACAAAGATTTTAGCATTAAAAAATATGTCCACATTCTCTAGATTTAAGACAAGGTTATTAGCAATTAAATTCTTTTATTTATTTAAAATATTTAAGAACATCTTAACATCCTTCAGTTAACTTTTTGATTATTTAAGATAAACAACTATAACAAATTGAATCTTAAAATTCACAATTATAATCTTTTTATTCAACTATAGATCTTATTTAACATGGTGAAATCTTTAAATCTTGAATCAAATAGTTTTAGATTTAGATGCATTTTTTTACAATTTCATGTTTACCACAATCAAGTTTAATTAAAATCTTTTAATCACAAGGAGTACATTCTTCGGAACACATATTTTAACATTTAGCAGAGTGACCACAAGGTCTAGCTTTAATACATTCATCTTCACATGGATAACTATAACAAATCTACCAGCATTTTTTTGAACAACTATGACCACATTAAAGTTGTTTCTGGCAAGTATGTTGACATTTATAAATAAAATTTTTTCTTTCATAGCATTTGTAAAAAACTGTGTGATTACATTCTTAAAAATATATCTCTAAATCTTTTAAACAATATTCTTTTGAAGGATCCTTACCACAGAGTATTAAAGACTCATGATTACAATCAGGTAAAATTGTCTTTATTTTTTCTGTGCAAATACATTAATCTTTGCATTTTAAATTACATTTATGTCCACAATTAAGTGTTCTCTCACATTCTTCTGGACATTTATCTCGAGTGTGATTTCCTAAATGACATTGACTCTAACAAATATGATTACATTCATCAAATTGTTCATTGCAAGTCATTTAACAACAACCTGCATCTAATTTAAACCATTCATTTGATTTCTCAACTTTTCTTAAAGTATTATGTGTTAAACATTTTAATGTTATAAAATCTTATAAATAATTTTTATTCTATGCTAATGCAATTATTTTTCTCCACAAAGACCCAGTATTAGATGCCTTTTTTATAAAATCAAAACATCCAAACACATAAAGACCTAATCTTGCTCTTGATAATGCTACATTAATTCTATTTTCAACTTTAATAAATCCAAGTTTGTTAATATTATTATTTCTAACCAATGAAATTATTACTATATCATTTTCTTCTCCTTAATAATTATCAACTGTCTAAACTTTTACTTAACTTAAATGCTTTGTCATAAATTTCCTTTTTAATACTTATGCTTATCTTAAATAAAGTGATAAAACACTTATTTATGATTCTTGATATCCAACTTTCACTAAGTATTAAACCATTTAAAAAATCATTTCTGCTTCCTTGGGATTTTCTTTTGATTTTGAATCATCTTTTTCAAGCCAATTATGATTGAAAAATACTAAATCTTAACTTAAACCAATAATTTCCATATTGTTTCTATTATGATATATATTCTCATGATCTAAATACTAATTTCCATATATAATTCTTATAAAATCAGCAAATTTAGTTTTCATTCTACGTTGAGATGATAGTGTAACTGATGGAATATTATTCTTATATAATCTCTCAAATAATGAAATATTTGCTTCATAAGTTTATTCCAATTCATAACATTTTAGTTGAGGTCTTAATTATAAATGATCTCCTATTAAAATTAAATGTTATATGTTTTTTGTGAGAATGGCTACAATATGGGATTCCAAAACCTCTGCAGCTTCTTCTATAACCAGTACTTTTGAATTTAATTTTTTTAATTTATTAATATGTTTTGCAGCACCATTAACAGTTGCTCCAATAATCTTATATTAATTTAAGAATAAAATATCTTTTTCCTCATAAAGATCTTTAAGAGTTTTAGACATTTATTTGAATTCTTTGTATTTTTGCTAAAATATTAGACAATCCTCTTAATACTTTAAGTATTCCAAATATTTAATAATCTCATCTCTATCATTATTATTAAGTTCCCATGGATTTAGGTTTTCATTTTACAAATATTATTAAATCTTTTCAATTCCTTAAAAATTATAGTGTAAATTATCTTAATTCTAATGATTTGAATTAAATATATCGAATTCATTTAATTCTTATTATTATGGCTACCACTATGAACTTTCATAATTAAATTGTTCTTATGATTATTCATCAGAAGATTCAGAAACCTCTTAAGAAGATTAAACTATGTGTTATTAATCATTTTAATCTTATTCATTTTAATCTTATTCATTTTAATTTTATTCATTTTAATCTTATTCATTTAACTCTTATTCTTATTCATTTTATAATATTACATCATTTTATCTTTCTTCAAATTGTAACTCTTGATCTCGATAACCATAATCATCTTATTCGTATTCATGCTCGGAATCTAAAAATTCATCTATATCTTCATTTGATTCATTTTCATAATAGTCTTCATCGAATTCAATTTTATCTCTTTCAATAATAGTATTAGTAAAAACTTAATCTGTAATATCTTCTCTTGTATAGTAATTGTTAATTCCAAATAAATTCGTTTGAGTACATAACATTGAATCATTTGGAAGTTTTCCTTTAATCCAACAATCTAAAATTGAATCTTCAGCTAAACTATCAACTTATGAATTATTCAAATCATTGTCATCTAAAAATTTTTCTATTAGTTTATCATATAATTAAGGCCAGTATTATCGAATATCTTTAACTTATAAAGAGTATTCATAAGAAATTAATTTATTAAATAATTTTCTTAGTTCACTTTTGAGACCATAAAAATAATTCCAATTAAAACGAATTTTTTATTTACATTAAAATAAACATTATTAAAGTTGTGGAGATTTTGAACGCCCCCCAAGCCTTGCAATTTATTCAATTGGAATATATTTTAAGATGTGTTCTAAAAATTAATCTAAGGCATGATTAGTATAGCAAACTACTATAATAGGCATATCTGAACTTAACAAATTTTCGTATAAAATTCTTACAGCTAATATACCACAATAAGTTTTCCCAGTTCCAGGAGGTCCTTAAATCAATGCAACTTCTTAAGAAAGAATTAGTTTTATAGCTTTCAATTAAGAATCATCCAAAGTTGAATTCATATAAGGCCAATTTTATATCCATAAATTAATCCCTACTCCTTAGTATAAAGGTTTTAAATCTAAATCAATTTAAAAAACATTTTTATTTTTAAGATATTTTGGATAAGATACATAATTCATATTTTTTAGAAGCACATTTTCAAAAGGCAAACTTTAAATCATTTTTATTGATTCTAAATATTCAATTTAAGATTCAATCAAAATTTGATTTTCAATTACAATAGTTTTTTAATATAACAAATTTAAAAATTCCATAATATACGATTTATTACCCAAAAATTTAAATACTAGATGAATTCTCTTAAATTCATTATAATGATTTTATTTATTACTTCTATCAGTAATTACCCCAAATAATAATGGATGACATTCAACATTAGTGATACAAATTAGAGAACCTCTATTTAATTTTTTTGATCTAAACCAATCGATATTTTTCTATTTTCTACCATCTAAATTAAATTATTCTAAAGATATTTTCCATAGTATGCCATTATTGTCCATTTCTTATGATTCCAACTTTATATTTTAGTATAAACCAATATTATTAGTGTAATTTTTGTCTATATGCTAATAGAATCCTTTTTCAGATAGATAACTTATTGATTTTCTCATATCATAAATATAATCTTCTCGCAGAATATTAAAATGATAATCTAAATATCTTTCTAATGGTACGTCTAAAGATTCAAATTGTTAAAGTTATCCAAAAATTTATTTATTTTGATTTTTGAACTAAATAAATTCTAAAGGTATCGGATAAGCTGGAGTTTGTTTATATTGATACATTTTAGCACTTTCCTATATATTTTCTAAAAATTAGTCAAATTCCTCAAAAAGTTCATTGAATTGATAATCAGAGTAATTAATTTCAATAATCTTTTGAAGAGTAAATATTTAAGAAATGTTTGATAATTTAAGAGTATTCATATCAATATCTTTAAGATAATAAAATATTTGAAAAAGCTTTTAAATTTCATTCTCTAAGTTATCAATTGATGTTGTTTAAGTAATTAATAGATGACATCTTTCTGAAATTTAGTTTTCAAAGCTTTAAGATTTTAATATCATGAGTAAGTATTAAAATACTTCTTCATATTTAACAAAGTCAAAAGCCAATGTTTCAATTAAGTAATAATAGGAATCAAATTATTAGTGAATTGGAGATAGATATTTGACTTTATTTTTTAAGTTCTTTGTTTATTCCAATTTATCAAGAATTTCTATGATATCATATTTATTAATATAGCAATCATTAATCCATAGCTAAAGCTAAAAAGATAAATCATAAAAATTACTTCATCATCATAATCTTATGATTCTGACTAAGATTCTGATTTAGATTTTGACTAAGATTCTTTTTCAGAGTATAAATAATAATCATCAGACATTTTAATGAAAATGTAAAATATTTAACTTTTAAATAAAATAATTTTAAATAGTAGGTTTAAAATAGAAAGTTAGATAAAGTCTTTAATTAAATAATATCACAAAAATAATTAAAATAAAATATAATAATGATAATAAGGAAAGCGATGTAAAAGGGATTCAGTACTGTTTATAATTTGAAATAATTTAGACATTAAGAAATCCCATAAAATGTAAGTGTAGATAGAGAATTTGGAGACACTATATTATAAAATGGAATAAGGGTATGTACAGAATTTTGGCCATCTGAATTAGCACAGTAATAATAATATTGAAGATAAAAGCATTACAATTTATATTAAATGTGGAAGTAGAAATGAAACAGAAGTAACAAGTGGAACAGCACATTTTTTAGAGCATTTACATTTCAAGGTAGTGAAGACAACTAAATATTAAAGGGAACTGGTAGAAGAAGTAGAGATCGATTGGAATGTGATGTTGAGAATTTTGGTGGATAATTAAATGCTTATACTTCAAGAGAGAATACATCATATACAATAAATGCTTAAAAAAATAAAGCTGAAAATGCTGTTGAAATTTTAGGAGATATGCTTACAAATTCAATTTATGCTAAATCAGATGTAGAAAGAGAAAGACATACTATCTATAGGGAATTATTTGAAACAAGAAAAATGTAATTTGAAACTTTGATTGAAATATCTCATCGTTCAGTAAGGATTTATTTGTGATTTTAAAGGCTTACAAAAATCATTAAATGTCATTACCAATCTTAGGAAAAATTTAAAACATGTATTCCATTACTAGAGAAATGATTACAGATTATCATAAAAATAATTATTATGGAGAAAATCTTATTGTTTGTGGAGTAGGTAATATTAAATAAGAATAATTATGTGAATATGTTACTAAACATTTCAGTAAAATTCATAAGAACAATTAATAAAATAAATAAGAAATTCCAGTCAATTTTTAAAGTGAAGTATTTTTAATGTAAAGTGAATTAACAGAAGATATAAATGTAGGTTTATTTTATTAAGGACCTGAATGGACTGATCCTCATTATTATCATTTTTTAATTTTATAAAGACTTTTAGGAGATAAACCATCTAATTTTTTGGAAGCTGCAATATTTGAATAATCAACATTAAATTCATTTTAAAAACTTTTATTAGATTATCCAGAAATTACAACATAAAAGGCTGTTTATACTCCTTATAAAGACACAGCATTATTTGGTAATTATTTTGTTGTCAATCCAAATTAATTGGATTCTTGTATAGAAGTATCTAAAAGAATTTTTGAAGATTATGCAAATTAAATATCTTCTGAAGAATTGTAGAGATCAAAAAGAAGATTGTTTATTGAATTATGTTAACATGAAACAGGAAATGATATTTCATAAGCTATAGCAAATTAAATTCTTTATTTTGATAGAAGAATTTACAGATAAGAAATTGCATAAAATCTAGCAAATTTGACAGAAAAAGATATTTAAAATTGTGTTAAAAATTGGATATTAAACAAATAGCCATCATTAACAATTTGGGGTAAAATTGATCCAGTTTTGAAAAAATACAAATTTGATTCAAGTTAAGTTGGAACACACTGATATATGTCAAATAAATTTATATTAATTTGATATTTTAGTTTATTATTTAATATTTTTATCTCTTGAAATATTAGATATTATCTTCGGTTTAACAAATTAGATTGTAATTTAATTTATACTAAATAAAATGGAATATTAAAAATGTTTGAATAACAATTACTAAATATAAAATCAATATTATTTTATTATATATATTATATCTTATTTTATTATATTATATTTTTTAATATAACGCTAATATTGCTTATTATTAAATCATCATTTTTTCCTTGAGCTTCTTTCTCTATCAATATTTAATGTGACTGGTTTTAATTAAACAGCTCTTGCTATAAGTTTCTGATCACTTTATTCAATAATTGTAGCTGGTTTTATCTATTTAATTTGAACTTAAGGAACAGTAATTTATCTAATAATTAGAAAATAAAAACATAGCCTAAATAGTTGGTTGAAGTAGAGTAGGTTTAATTTTTGGTTATTCAATTTCTTTGACAATAAGAGGAGGTATTTTAGTTGGACTCAAAGGTACTCCAATTTTTAATTCTAATTAAGATCTTGGATTGATTGAATCATCTTCTAAAAATGCTTTGACCTTTTTAGCAGATTTCTTTTAAGCTTTAATAGTAATGTGAATATCATTATATTTTTTGTTTTAGAAATGACTTATTATAATTTATATATTAGTAATTACCTAATAATTTTCTTTTTGATGTTTTCAGCAATTTCATAATCAGAAGTCTTAAAAATTCCATATTTCATTCCATGGTCTTTGAATAATAAAATGAATGAAATACATTAAAATAATTCTTCGCTTCTGATATTTTATAGAGGTAACTTTTCATTAGAATAATTGACAGGTAAGAATCTCATAACAACAGTGATTTCATTTTTATTGACTTATTTATCAATATATTTGAGTTAAGCAAACTAAAAAGATAATAAAATAAAATATTACTTCTATATTATCACCAAATGCCTTTCTATATTTATGAGATGAAGTCACTAGATTGTAATAGACATATTATGCTCCTTTATCTTCTTTCATTCGAATAATAATTGATAGCTTGCCTGCATAGCTGCCAAGCTAAACTCGTTTAAACTGTATGAAGTGCTTATCCTTAAACCGCAATTCATAAAATTGTATACTATTCATCAAAAAATTCATTTAAATCTAGATTGTCTATGGCCTCTTCATCAATATTCATTATTATTATTGATTTTTATGATTCCCACTCCTGTTCTACTCGATTACTAATTATTATTTTTAATATTACTTTTTCTAAAATGGTTTTGCTTCCAACTTTATGGTTTGATTACATTCTGTATCAATCACCATAGAAACAACATCATCTACATTTAATCTTTTTTAACGATTCTATTCACACATAACACTAGATTCACCTGAACTCTCATCGTATGATGATTCAGGCTTTAGATAACGTTACTTCTCAATATTATTTAGATTTTTTAATTGTGACCCAACACTCACTAATTTGTTTCTATCCATTTTAATAATATCCATACGTGTTTTCAGATTGAATTGTAAACTCTGTCTAAAGTCCTTAATTTAGAAATTGATTCCTACGAAAATCAACCAATTATTTTGTTAGCTAATACATTATTATTATTAATATCAATACTATTTTTAATAAATAATCTTTTAATCATTAAAATATCTCTAATATCTTAATTTATAAAATCTATAACTTCCATAAATACAATATGCTACTCTATATAAACTTAAATTACCTAAAGTTAAAATACCAACAAAAAATATTGCTGCTCCAATCCACAACAAGTTTTCATTTCTAGAATTTATAATTGGCTATTAAATTTCAATTTCTATCAATTTATATTTTTTATCATTTTCTAATCATTAAAAACTATTAAATAACCTTTTATTTCTAATTTATATACACCTGACTTATGATACTCTTAAGGATAACATATTAATTCTGAATTAAATCCTGAAAAAGTAACCTAATACATATACTAGCGGCTCAATATGTAATTATTCTTATCATCAATTATTAAATCCATGATTTACATAGGATTTGCCATTAAATTATAACTAATTTCATTAATATCTTTTTTAATTACAGTTCTATTTAATCATCATCTTATTCAAATACACCTAAATTGCTTATTGCAATTACTATATTATGAGAATTATATAAATTTTGAACATTTCTAATTTCATAAACTTTTTCAGAACCATCATATTTTATTAATTGATAAAGTGTTGTTATATATATTTCTTCATTTTCTGTCATTAAAACAGAAGTTATATTCTTGTACAATTTTTTAAGTATTACTCTCCTATTATAAACAAATTGATCGAAAGTAAATTTATAAATATATATCACACTTGTTTGATTTTATTATGCTACAAAAACAAGAATTTTATCGTCTATAATTCTAAAGACATCTACTGATTTAATTGATATAGAATCTATTCCAACATTGTAATTAAAAAATAACTCTTATCCTTTTAGTACTATATACTTTTGCTAAATAATTTAAGCATCTTTTAAATTTTCAAGTTAATGTTCAGAAATAGTCTCTAAAAAATTAATAAATTATTACGTTAATCTTAAATAATATATAAATGTTGAGTATCAAAACAGTAAATAGCAATACTATTTTTGTTCCATAAGATTTTACATTTTTTAGATTAAAATTTAGGTATTGTAGAAATGATATTCTATGAATTATTCAATAATTATCCTTAAGAATTAAGAATTAAAATAGTCTCATTTTCTCCTTTTGTGAAAGCAATTGCATCAACTTGAAATTCTGATTTGTTCAAAATATTTTAAACGATTTTTCCTTATTATACATAACAAAACTAAGTAGCATCTCCTTTTATGGTGATTTTTGTTCCTAAAAGTTATGTAAGAAATTACCTGGTAAGAAAGATTCAGAATAATATTGTAAAGGTTCTAAATAGAGAGACTAAGTATAGACTGTCAAAATAAATGGGATTGCAATTAAAAATTACATAAATTTAATTCATGTTGTTGAGAATTATTAAGCAATACCAATTCAGTCAAATAGGAAGAATGAAATAAAAAAAAAGAAGTCACATAAAATACTTTTCTAAACCAATAATTGAGGTTTGATACATAAATTTTATTTAGGGTCAATATGGTGTAGTTCCATCAAGAGCAGTTCCATCACATATTCCAAGACCTAGTTATATATGTATTAGAACAATTAAATAGATTAGCTGAGGCAAAACCTGTCTATGGAATTTATGAAGGAGCACCTGTTGTTCATAATTAAGATATGATCCAAAGTAAAAAAAGATGATTTAAATTTAGAATTAAGAAAGGCAGCTTAAATAGCAGCCAAAACTGTTTATGTGGCTTAATAATCAGTCAAATAAGGAATGACAACAGATGATATAGATAAAATAGTGCATGAATATATAATTTCACAAAATGCATATCCTTCTCCAATAGGATTTATGGGTTTTCCAAAAAGTGTTTGTACTTCTGTAAATGAAGTTTGCTGTCATGGAATACCTAATTTAAGACCTTTAGAATATGGTGATTCTTTTAATATTGATGTGACTATATTTTATGATGGAGTACATGGAGACACTAGTGTTATGGCATAGATTCCTGAAATGAATCCTGAAATTACTAAATTAATAAATACAACATAAAAAGTTATTAATTAATTGTACAAATAGAATAGGCTCTTTATGAAGCTATTAAAATTTGCAAGCCAGGATAGAAATTCAATAAAATTGGAGATATAGTTGAAGAAGTCGCAGCAGAAGAAGGATTCACAGTTTGTGAATTATTTACAGGACATGGAATTGGTGAATTGATGCATATGCCTCCAACTATAATCCATAATTGTATTTATTAAGATTGAAATAATATAGTTAATGATTATCCTGGTGTGATGGTTCCTGGAAATGTATTTACAATAGAACCAATTTTATTAATGCATCATGATTAGTATTTTATGTGGAAGGATAATTTTACTGTTGTTTCTCCAAATAATCCAAGTGGTAATGAGATCTATTTTAAATTGTTAGCTTAATGGGAACATATGATTTTGATAACTGAAACTGGATATGAAGTTTTAACAAAGAGAGAGGATGAGACTGGAATATGACTTATATTTTAATAATTATTTTAATGAAAGTGTCCCTTTAAGATTTTGGTTTTCATTAACCTAATGCTCCAGAAATAAACACACCTCGATCTTTAGAGGCTTGTAGAAGAGAGGGAATAAGTCCAAGTGAAATTGTAAAAGTTTCATTTGAGGAATATTAAAAAAAGTATAGGTTATCTAATTTGGATGCAAAAGGAATTGAAACTTATTATAAACATTTTGAAGAGAAGAGGGAAGAAAAATATAGAGATCTTATTAAATAAAGACATATTGTATTAGAAGATGAAAAGACAGGTAAAATAGTGTAACAATTATATTTAGGTTTATGGAGTCCAGATGGATTAGGCAAAAGTAAAATGATCTCAAAATATTCTTAATAAGATGCTTCATCTTTAATTGAAAAAGAGAAGTAATAAATTGAAAAGATTAAGAAGAAGTAATAAAAAGAAATTGAAAATATGCTAGAGTTTGAATTAAAATTATAGGAGATTAAAGAATAAAATGAAAAGAAATTATAGGATGAAAAGATTAAATAGAAATAGAGAGAATTAGAATTAGAGAGAAAAAGAGCTTAATAGGAAGAAATTAAAAAACAGAAGGAGTTGCAAAAGTAACAAAAAAAAGAATAAGAAGAATTGGCCTTAAAAGAAAGAATGAAATTAATTGAATAAAAAGAACAAGAACGTATTAAATAAGAAGAATTAAAATAAAGATTAAGAGAAGAAGAAAATAAAAAAAAAGAAGATGAAAAGAAAGCATTATAAGAAAAATTGAGAAAATTAAATGAGGAAAATATTAGATAATAAATGGAAGTATTAGAAAAAAGAAAAAAAGAAATGGATGAAAAGACTGAATAAAGAAAAAAGATGATGGAAGAATAAAAAGAAAAAAAGAAATAAGAAGCAGAAAAAGCAAGAATAGAAAATGAAGAAAGAATTAAATAAGCAAAAGAAAGAAATGAACAAGAAGTTTTAAGAGTTAAAGAAGAAGTTGAAAAAAAATTATAAATTAGTGAATAAAAAAGATTATAATTTGAAGAAGAAAAAAGAAAAAAATTAGAATAATAAAAAATTGAAGCAGAATAACATGCTGAAATGATAAAAAAAGTAATTGAATAAAATGAATAAATGGAAATAGAGAAAAAAAAAGAATATTTAAGAAAAATTGATGAAGCAGAAGAAAGAAGAAAATAATTAGAAAAAGAATAAGAAAAAGAAAAAGAAAAAAAAAGATAAGAAGAACATGAAAAAGAATAATAAAGACATTAAGTATTATTATAAAACGAATAAAGGCAAAAAGAGAGAATTGAAGAGTTTTTGAAAAAGTTTTCAGAAAAGGATGAGAATCTATAGAAAGTTTAATTAGAAAGATCAATTTAAATAACTGATAAAAGAAATTAAGATACATTGAAAAGAATTGATAAAAAAGACAATGTTGAAAGAATAATGAAAAAATAAGAATATGATAGAATGAAATTATAAGAAAAACTAAATGAAAAAATGGAAAGAGCTGATAAAATATAAGAAGATTTAGAATAATTATTATTATAAAGATAAAATATGAGAAGAGAAATTGATAGACAAAAAAGAGATCTGTTATTAAAATTAGAGAAAATAAGAGAAGGTAAAATACCTGCTTCTGAAATCTAAAAATAATTTGGTATAACATCTACTGATCTAAAATCATAAGCTCATGAAGAATCAAATTATGCTAGAAAATCCTAATCTTAATCTATTAATAAAAATAATAAAAAATAAATGACTTTAGCAAAACCTTTTACTACTATAAGATAATCTTAAGTTTTAGATAAACTTCCAGATATTAATTCATCATCACCTTAATTATAAGAAACATTAAATAATAATACAAATCTAAGATCTGTGGATTCAGCATAATAACTATAATAATAACCAATATAACAACAATGTACAATATTTATTATTATTCTTATGTAGAAAAAAAATCTCCAAAAAGAAGTAAAAAGTAAGAAATAGTCAAATCAAAGCCACTTGAACCACCTAATCCAGAAGTCTTATTTGAACTTAATTAAATAATTCAAAGATAAAATTAAGAGATTATGAGAGTTTTTATGGAAGAATAGGCTAATGAAAATAGGAGGGATGATAAATTGAGAAATTGTAAATTAGAAAATAGAGCAAAGTTAGAAAAACTCTAGAGTTTAGAGAGATAAAAAGCTCAACAAAGAATTCAAAAGCTTTAAGAATAACACTAATACGAATAATAATAATTTAAGTTAGCTCACAATCTAATTGATTGATTTTATTTTATTTAATATTTTAGTGGAACAAATGTTAATAAATTAGTTAATTAAATAAAATAAATATATAATTTTATTATTTAAAAATTAATTTTATTTGTTCTAATATTAAACATTGTCCAAAACTATTTTTTAAAGTTTTTTTTATATTTTTGTAGTAAACACCAAAATCTTGATTGTTATAGGGTTTGTTATGAAGTTTTAAAAATTATTTGAAAATACTCAATGAATTAAATTTTTGTTTTATAAATAAATTTATGACTTTACTTATTAAAATTAATCCTATAAGATATTTTGTAAATAATATAGTATATTAAGTTTGGAACTCAATTGTTAAGTTATTATATATTTAGATTTAGATGCTTAAAAGTTTATTTAATTCTAATTCTATTTTAAGAATCCATCATTCTTGTAAAAATTAAATTAAGAATAAATGAAATCAATTTATCATATTAATTTTATTATATGGGTTGTGGATGTTAAAGTTAATAGATTGCATCTAAACAAATATAAAATAATTGTTGTTTAGACAATGAATGCAATTCAATAAAAAGAGCTATTTTTGAGCATCCAAGATAAGTTTAGGATTCAGTAAGTTCAATCTCATCATATTCTGATTAATATTCTTCGCGTCCTTTAAAAACAGTAGGTTAAATAAAAACTTAAGATTGGATTTACTTAAATAAGAGTGATAAAAATTCAATTACAAAAAGAGTCATATGTAGTTTGAATGAAAATAGCTTAAGTCCTCTGAAAAAAGAAAATGAAAATACTTTTTCTGATTTATCTGTAGAACTAATTGCAGATGAATAAGTAAAATTAATAATACCAACTAAAATTAAAAGGTATTTGAATAGAAGAAGGGTAACTTCTAAGGAGGATTTATTGAATAAGGTAAAACAACTGAAATATCAAGATAAATTAAAAAGAAGAAAGACTTGAAATTCATATTTTCATTTTATAATAATTCAATCTCTCTTAATAAAATGATGTGGTATTATATGCTACTATTTTTTAAATTTAAGTAATCCAAAGTAGAGCTCTGGATAAATGATTAAACAAGATCCAAAGAAACTAATAATTCCAGTTTATAAAGGTCTTGATTTGATTCCTTTAAATGCTGCACCAATAGCCAGATTAACAACTGAAAGTCCAACTAAAAAATTGAATCTCTACTCAGGCTCGTATTTTTAATGAATATTTGTCTTAAGTCCTTAGGTGGATGAATAAATTTACTTGTTAATTCTTCTGCAAATTCATTAAGTGGTTCATTTATAAAATCTAAATAACTCATAAATAATTTAATGTAAAATTGATTATACAAAACTATACTCTAAATATAATATTAGAAATATAATGATAATAGAAATAAAAGTGATTGATATTGGAATAACTAATTATTATCAAAATGATTGTATATTAATCATGAATTTTTAATAAAACCAATAACAATTTTATTGATAAGTTAATTATTTATTTATTAACGGAAAAAATGAATAAAACAAGATCAAGTTTTGCTATTGCTACATCTAGAACAAAAACACAAATTAATTTAGCTAGTCAAGGAACACTTCCTTGTCCATAACATTCTTCTTTCAATATCTCTCATGTTTGCTTATGTACAACTTGTACCTAAACTATTTCATTTTGTTCTGAATGTCTTTTTGAAACTTAACATTAATAACATTTAGCTAAACATAAAGAGCATATTATTGGATGGAATGACTTAATGATTCTTTGTAGAAGATAAAGTGTATCAGGTAGATTGGGAGATGAACCTTAAAAAGAATTAAATTAAATAGTACTTTCAACTTAAGCTCATTAAGCTAGTTTTAAAACTTATATTAAAAATTAGGAATAACTCATTAATAATGATTTTGATGGATTAATTACTAAATTTACAGAAATGATAAATAAAGTTAAAGCTGAATTTATGGCTCCTTATAAAAATTATTTGCAAGATCTTATTGATATGGGAACTATATTAGAAAAATTAGTTTCAGATTATTACTTAGAAAAAAATAAAGATTATAATAATGATTATGATAATTTCTTAAGTGAAGTTAGTAAATTATAAGAATAATAAACTTCAAATAAAAAAAATGATTAAAATTAATATAATCTTAGAAAATTAATGCAAAATATTATACCACTTGTAAGTAAAGCAAATGGTTAATTTTAAAGAGCATTACAATAATAAAACTTAAATGTAGAAGAGGGAGAATCATAAAAGTCAGGATATTCTTTATTTAGTAATATGGCATTAAAGTAAAGTGATAATTAAGTACTTAATGATTTGGTTAATGATTATAAAGTATTACTTAATAGTAGACCTTGTTACAAAAATTAAGGATTAGCTTAATAAACTTATAATGGAATGTAAGAACTAATAGATAAATGTTATCATTCTTTGACATAAGTTGATTTTATGGCTCCAGGCTACAAAAGTTAGATGATTAAAATGAATAAAGAGAATTTAAGTTTAAAGTAATAACTAGCATCACCTAAAGGAACAAAATATTTAGAAACTATTATTAAGGAATAGAGTACTAAAACATTAAAATAATTAACTAAATTAGAAGAAGATGAAGATGAAATAAGAGAAATGTAACTTAAACATAGATTAAGATAAACTACTTAATTAATCATTTCTGATCCTATTACATCAATTTCATTTGTTAAAACAATCAAAACTACTCACAAATAAGGTATTAATTGTATGGTTTAATTTGATGATGATTTTATTGCTACTGGATCAAATGATAGATCAGTCAAAATTTATAGATACAGAGTTTATGAATTATTTAAAGAAATATAATTTAAGACTGATGTAACTTCCTTAGCAGTTTAAATAAGAAAAGATGGCTCTTCCTTTTTGATTGTTGGGTTATTTAAAGATATTTGTATCTTAAATTAAGGATTCGAAGTACTAAAATCAATTGATAGAATTCATAATGGTTAAATTAATTCTATTGTTTGCTTAGAAGATGCCTGTACTATTTTTAGTTGTGCTTAAGGTGATAATAGATTATTATAATGGAATTCTTAAAATGATTAACAGAAAAAATACTTTGAACATAGAGATTCAATTACATGTATGGCATTACTTGGAGATCAATATGTAGCTTCTGGTGGTAAGGATAGAAATATCAAAGTATATAAACAAACATATGCAAACAATGTTTTTGAAAAATTATAGCTGTCTATGAGTTTATCTGATGCTCATCCAACAGAAGTAACTAGTTTAGCTTATGGTGGTGGTAGCATTCTTTATAGCAGTAGTGCATCTGGTGAATTGAAGATTTGGGATTTTATGGATGGAACATTAATAAAATAAGTAAAAAATTATGCAGGATGGTGTTTCAGAATAATAAACTTTTAATTAGAAGAGGAATAGAATTCTTAATAGAAAACATAACTTTAGACTTCGATTCCATTATGTGGATCACCAAGAAGAAAGAAGTAAATTTAAAATGAATATGAATGCATAAAGAATAGTTTTATAGGGACAGTAAGTTTTGATGGAACATTCAAGATATTCAATGGTAAAGCTTTAGTGAATGATAAGTAAGAAATGTAAATAAATAAATTAGCCCATAACCAATGATCACAACATAATTGAAATCGATACATGATTGTCATCCATTTGGAGGAGTATTAGCAATAAGAGATAGCATAACAGATAAGATTGATATTTTAAGTAGTGGAAACAAGAACGATTGCAATATCTAATTGTATAGTTTAGCATAATCATGAGTCATTTTATATAATATACTAAGTTAACACAATTTTAATTAAATTTATGAGAAAGATATTATCATCAGCATTGGCAATAAGTTTTAGAAGAACACCATTAGTGATTCCAAAACGTACTTAGCGTTTAACTGCTGCTTTGATTTCTCTTCCATTGATAAGATATGGATTTTAAGTATGGAATTGCAAATAGATTAGACTCTAAATTTGAATGATGCTTATGAAGTATCAATTGAAGATAATTTGAATGAAGGAGAAATGAGAGAAGTTTAGGTAGGTCCAAAAAAAGAAGATGCCGTCTTGGTATGCAAAGTAGATGGACAGATATATTGTGTTTCAAATTCATGTCCACATGTTGGAGCTCCATTATCAGCTGGATTCTTAGTTGGAGATAAAGTGAAGTGTCCTTTTCATAATGCAAGTTTTTCAGTCAAAGATGGTGTTCATGAAGAAGGACCAATGTTTAGAGGATTATAAACATTCCCAGTTAAACAAGAAAATGGTTAATTAGTTATAAGAGTAGAGAAATCATTATTAAATGCTCCAAGAACATTAAATATGGTAACAAAGGGAGATGATCCAACACACGTTGTTATAGTAGGTGGAGGGTATTATAAATTAAATAATTATTATAGAGTATCAGGTTAAAGTGCTGCAGAGACTCTTCGTTAAGCTGGATTTAGAGGAAGAATAACAATAATAACAGCAGAAGATTCATTACCTTATGATAGAACTCCTATGAGTAAGATGACCTTTATGGTTAAATAATAAGGTTTATAAATAAGACCATAATAATTTTATGAATAATATGGCATTGATGTTATGACTAAAACAACAGTTGATCAAATTGATATCAATAATTAAGATGTTATTGTTGGAAAGGAAAGAATTCATTATGATAAATTATTATTAGCTACAGGAGGTACTGCTCGTAGACCTCAATTAGATGGAGTCAATTTAGGTAATGTACATACTCTTAGATAATTCAATGATTTATAATAAATTAGAAATAAAGCTAAAGAGGCTAAAAATGTTGTCATTGTAGGAGCATCATTTATTGGAATGGAAACTGCATCAGCAATTAAAAAAGAATTAAAAGATTAAGTCAATATCACAGTTGTAGATAGTACAACAGTTCCATTTGAAAGAGTGCTTGGTAAGGAAGTTGGATAATCACTTTAAACATTACATGAAGCAAATGGAATTGAATTTGTATTGAATGCAGGAGTGAAAAGAATAGGTGGAGTTGGTTAAGTAGAAAGGGTAGATTTACTTAATGGAAAATCATTATAAGCAGATTTGGTAATTTTGGGAACAGGAATACAACCAAATAATAAATTAGTAAAAGATTAATTAAAAATATCTCCTAATGGTGGTATAGAAACAGATGTTTTTTTGAAGGCTGCAAAGAATGTCTATGCTTCAGGTGATATTTCAAGTTATCCATATTGGGTTACAGGTGAACATGTTAGAATAGAGCATTAAAATGAAGCAGTTAGATAAGGGTAATAATTAATAATAATATTAATATAGTTATGTAGCTGCTTTGAATATATTAGGTAAACCCACTCCTTTGACAGATGTACCATTTTTCTGGACAAGATAATGGGATAGAACTTTAGCATATAGTGGAGTTGGATAAGGATTTGATGAAGTGATTGTAGATGGAGATTTAAGTCAATAGAAGTTTGTAGCTTATTATAGTAGAAAAGGACGTATAGTAGCATCTGCAAGTATGAATACTCCTAATGTATAATAAAATTGATTAATTTTTAGGCTTAAATGATAATATCAGAAGCTTTAAGATTAAATGTTATGCCTAGTGCACAAGACTTGAAGGAAAAGAAAGTTAATTTGAATGACATTAAGAAGACTGTATTAAGCAAGGGAACTTCTTGTCATTGCAAACGTGCTGGGTAATGTTAGGCATAATTATGAGTTTATTAATAAATCCAAATTAATTAAATAATAAAACGTGTTGATGAAACAAATCATTCTCTTGTTGGTCATGCATTGCTTTGCTGCTAATATTGATATTTAGATCTCATATATTGATGCCCCTTTGATCAACATACATTGGTGTAGTGATACAGTGTTAGCACTCACATCTAAAGGATCTGTTTATAGAAGTGATGATAGAGGAAGATAATGGACTAAAATGTCAGAAATATTTCATCGCAAGGCTCTAATACAACTTGAAGATTCAGATGAGAGAATTGGAATTGTTAATAATCTAGTACCTAGTCCTGTTGATAAATAATTAGTCTTATTTACAGGTACAGATTAAATTGCTTGGATTTCACTTGATTGCGGTAAATCAATTACAGCTGTCAATGCTGGAAAATAATTGCGTGAATATCAATTTCATCCAATTGAAAAAGATTGGATTATAGCATCTGCATGGAAATAATGTGGTTCTGATGAATTACTTGCAGGAACACCATGTGTTTCTTATAAAGAACTTTTATTAAGTTAAGATACTGGAATAACATGGCATTCAATAGCTACTTATGTAAATTAATTTACTTGGGGTATAAAAAATAAAGAAATGTCTAAATATACACCTAAAGAAAGAATATTAGCATCTTTTGAACCTTAAGGGAAAGGACATCAATCTATTAGTAGTTGGAATATGGATTACAATCTTTATTATAGTGATGATTTCTTCTAAACTCGAACTTTAAGTGTTCCTGCTGGATCCAGGTTTTTACTCACTGAATCCTTTCTATTTGTAGCGAAAGTCACATCCTAAGTGACTCAAGAAGTTAGTCTCTATGTCAGTGGAACTGAGTTAGGTTAATATAAATACAGTGTTATAGATGCTGATTCTAAACTATTAGAACATTCTTATAGTATATTAGACACATCAGAAAATCAAGTTTTTATGGTTGTTAATCATCTTAAACCATCTTCTCCTTTGGGAGTTATTTATATTAGTGATTCTACTGGTACTAGATATTCCAGATCCTTAGAGAATGTCTCTAGATTAGAGAATAGTGCTGAATTTTATAGAGTTTAAGGATTGGAAGGAATTTATTTGGCTAATGTTTATGCTGAAGATTAAGCTAAAATATATTCTAATTAAGTTTTTGAATCTATGGAAGAGGGTTTCTATGCTCAATAAAATGGATTTAAAGATGAAGATCTTAAAAAATATAAATAAACCAGAATTACTTTCGATAAAGGAGGATAATGGGTTCCTCTAAAAGTATAATTTAATTTATTAAATTTTATTAGCCTCCTACAGTTGATGCTGATGGTAAACCAATTAATTGCAATAAGTGCTAATTGCATTTGCATCTTAGTTAAGCATTTTATTAATTTGCACCTATTTACACTTAAACTAATTCCATTGGTATTATTGTAGCTACAGGATCAATTGGAAAATATTTAAGTTATCGATAAGATTAAGTTAATACATATCTTAGTAGAGATGGAGGTTTAACTTGGATTGAAATCAAAAAAGGTTCATACATTTATGAAATCAGCAATCATGGAGGATTGATTGTAATGGCAAAAGATCAAGAAACTACTAATCAAATTGTGTACTCCTGGAATGGTGGAATGGAATGGACTCCATTTAATATCTTGGATTAAAAAGCAGAAATCTAAAATATTATCACTGAACCATAAAATAAAGGAACTAGATTTATAGCATATGGAGCCATTTAATTAGAATCCAATGGTATCAAAACTGAATAAGGATTATTGGCTACTATTGATTTAGATGAACTACATTAAAGAAATTGTATTGGATAAGAAAAAGCAGGTGAAATTGGAAGTGATTATGAATTATGGACACCTTCTGGACTTGTAAATCCGGAATGTTTATTTGGCAAAAAAGTTACATATATGAGAAAACGTAGAGAAGCTGCTTGTTATAATCCAGAATAATTAGAAAAAATTATTAGTGTCACCCCTTGTTAATGTTCTTCTGAAGATTATGAATGTGATTTGGGATTTGTGATGAACAATTAGTAATGTATTCCTATAAATGGTACTATTAATATTGATCCACCTGCTGAATGTGATGGATATTATACAGTTTCTAGTGGTTATAGAAAAATAGCAGGAGATATTTGTGAAGGTGGAGTAGAACATATTTCAATGAGATTTAGTTGTCCTAATAATAAAAATTGGATTATGGACTGGTTAGTTATTGGAGGAATATTATTTGCATTATATTGGCTTTACAATAATCAAGAAAAAGTAAAAGAATATTTTTCTAGAACAGAAATGCGTGAAATACCATAAACAAAATAAGAAGTAATAGATATATTATATATATTAGTTATTGATTCAATAGATTTAATAAAAACAGTCAAAACCATAGTAATAATAATAATAGCAATAATCACAATATTAACCAATAGATTTAGAATAAAATGAATTATAAGATTAAAAGTTTGATGAAGATTTGATAGAAAAAGATGATGATGTATAAATAGAAGAGGAAGCAGCTCATGAATTGATTTGAATATTTGCGTATAAATTATTTTAATGACTATTAATGGATTATTGATACCTAGCAAGTTTATTCTAGTTTCGTGCCATTTTATAACATCTCTAATGGCTTATTATGGAGCTGTATAGAACTCCTCCTCATCTATTAGAAAGAAAATATATTGGCTAATTTTCAAAGTAAAACTTATGATACCAATTCTGATTCTTACATCTCAGCTTATAATTCCATTATATCGTGTATCATACTTGGATTGATTGGCCTTGGTATAGAGATGATATTCATTATAACTGGAATTACTATGTTTTATGATACTAGTAATTTTTTAAGTATTCAAATAATCATCTGAATATAGTTATATGTTTACATGCAGTGGGCATAATTGTTTACAGTGAGTTTATCATTGGAGCATGGCCTTATTATGAATTATGGTATTATTGGGCAGCATTTATGTAAATACTTGAATACTAAGTTAGCTTGTTACCAGTCTTATTAGAGATTGTAGCAACATGTTTTGGTAATATTCTTTATGGTACAGCTTTTAGAAGAAGATTATCAAGAAAAGGAAATTGATCATTTAGGTTATTTAATATCTATGAAATGGTAACATATCAATATATAACTCATAATTATTTTAATGTAAAATCAAGAGCATCTAATTAGAGAAATTTATCTAAAAGATAAATCTAATTTTTTCCTTAGATAAAAATGGGAATAAGTTTTTGATACTATATTACCATTACAAAAAACAACTTTAATAATTGATACACTATAGGAAATCGAAACATTAAAAATTATAAAAGCATAATTATCTAAACATCATAATGTGATAACTATGATATCAGATACAAGTGAAACTAACTATAATTGGTGTAATATGGTTAACTAAAACTTTGAGGTTATTGTTGCTGATCTTAGAGCGGAGACTAAATTGAACTCATATTAATATATTTGCATAAAATGGGTATTAATTTAGTATTTATTTTAGTTATTAACAATTAATACAAAATTAGTGATATTATCAAATGACTTAATATATGAACATTTAGTAAATTAATTTAATATCGATTACAATAACATTATTGAAATTCCTTATTTGCATACTTAATATGATGAATAGTTTATAAGTGTACCTCACGATTAAAAATTGACATATGTATTATAATAGATTAAAAACTCAAATCCAGAAATTGATCGAGACGTATTGATTTATTGTGAATCATTATATTAAATGGATTAAATATTCCAAGCTATTTATTTTCATAAATAATTATCTCTATCCGAAGAGTATGATGTGATCTAAATTATACCATTTTAATCGTATTATGAATAATTTGGATAATAATTGACTGAAATGGTATATCCATAATAGAAAGGAAAAAGAAAAGTATTTTTAACCTTAAATTATTAATAACTAAGAAGATATTTATAAAATTTATAACACAAGATATCTTTAATTATTCATATGGGATATCAAACAACAGTAAAAACATTTTTAAAAGAAATCAATGCCATTGTTTATAAGTAGAATAATCTTAGCAGAGATGACATAATCATTCGTAATAGGATAAATTATTATCCAAAAATAATTTATTTATTTGGATTTGATGAATTTACAGATTTGCAGGAACATAAACTGATTTTTGATGAAGAATTTACTTTTAATCCAGAAAATTAAAAATTTTATGCTTCATAATTTAATGTTGAACTTGATTAATTAAGAGACATAACATTATCAGAATATAACTCATTATAAAATTATATTCCATTAATTTATTATGAGCCATTGTTAGATGCAGAAGATGAAACTTTTCATTATTATAGTATTGTTGTATCTACACTTTTGACAGATGGAGAAATACTATCAGAAGGTAATATTGAAAGTAAAAAGAATCCATTTAAGAGTTTCTAAATTCATTAATAAAGAGAATCAATTATTAGATCTAATCATTATTGGTCAAAAATGGGAGATATTACTTCGTGGATTTAATTAATAAATAAATTTATTATTTTTATTGAAGAAATCAATTCTAAAGAGGATGAAAAAGAATAAGAAAATTCTAAAAATGAATTAATAAAATGGTGTAGATTACAAAATATAAATATTCCTAAAATGATATTGATTTTAGCTTATAATGAATACATAATTGATTTAACCTAAAAATATGTATAAATTTAATATTATTTAGGTATCTGAGTATTCAGTGATTAGTAAATGCTGTTCTTTAGATTAATTAAAATTAAATAGAACAGTGTCTCTTAAAAAATAGTAATCAATGCCAGAACATTCTGAAGACATCTAAGCATATTTATTAAGATTATTCTATAAAGGTTTATGCATATTTAGTGGACATAAGAGTGCTGGTTATTATAATTATGTTACCAACTAAAAAGTTTAATTAAGCTATAATAATTTAATGGCTTTAATTGGAGACTTTCCTCTAACTTGTATAATTATGGCATTATTTTAAAGTAATTAAAAATATTATATTAAATATTCTACAAAAATAGATGATATAATGATACCTTAATTGGCTCCTAAAGATTTTGTAAAATAATACAAACTCTAATTTATATAACGTTAATCGTTGCATTTGAATGAAATAACTTTTAATGGAATCTCTCAAGTTCTATTTAATGAATTATGGAAAAATCAGTCAGGTCCATAATTATCTTAGGATTGTATCTTACAACCTAACATTGAAATGAATTGTATAACAATTCTATATGATTCGAATAATGCATCAAAGGACAACATCGAATAAGAAATGAATACAAAAATTAAAGAATTGTAAAATTTTTTCAGAAATTAAGTAAAAGAATTACCTTATGAAAATGATTCCAAATTTATAATGCAAGCGTAAAAATTTATAAACAATATTTTAGTGGTGGAAGTATGAAGGATTGGATTGAAAAAAATGGTTTTAAAACTTTTTATATAGAAGGTTTACCTTTGGATATAACTTAAGAGTTGTTAGAAGAATTCTTAAATGAAGTACGCCTATAAGAGACAAAATTCTATAAGTAAGGAGATAAAATTACAGCAAGAATTTCACTTTATGATCATGATGATTTACTTTATTGTTTGGAAAACATTAAAGAATACAAAAATTATGAATTAAAAGTTTATACTTAATACGATTAGTTTGAACATAATGAAGAAAAATTAAATTTTAATGAACATTTCAAAATAATGATCACCTGGAATTTACATTTAAATAAAGGCACTGCTAAGGTTAATCTCAATTCTCCGTTTTAATTTACTTCTGGAGATTTTGAAAGGATTCAACATTTAACATACAAAATGAATCTTAAAAGTGTTTATGAAGATGAGTAATCAGTCTTAGCAGATTTATAATATAATTATAAAACTGTCAATATTAAATCAATTGAAATTGATAAATAATTAAGATATGAAAAAAATGGAGATCTATAATTAGAAATATAAAAATTATTATCAAATATATCTTAAGATAAATATAAGATTGAATCTATTACTAAATAAAATTGTAAGAGGATATTATCCTTAATAGTTTATGATATTAATTCTATGGAATAATTTAAACTTTTAAACAATCAGATTCGTTAATTTCGAGGTTTGAAGATTTAATTAAAAGTAAAGTCTTTTTATTTTCATGATTATGAAGGACCAATTGAAATGAAATAAATAGTTGAAGAAATTTTTGATGAAAAGAAATTATAAATTGGATAATACACTATTTAAAGTGATGATGAATTAAAAAGAATAAAAGTTACGATTGAATGTTGGAGCTTAAAAGATCATGAATAATTGAAGAGGGAGATTTAAGATGCTTTCAATCCTAAAATTATAAAGCCTTCATCAGATTTTGATACAACATTGTTATTTAGTTAATCTGGAACCAGATTCCTTAAATTTTAAGAAATGCGTTTATAAATTCTTATAAAATAAGATTATATTAACAATCAATTATTTGTAAATAGTTCTTAAAATAAATACAATTATTTAATAAAAGCAATTAAAGAATTCCTTTCTGATTGTGCAAAAATAGCAATATAAATTCCAAAGAATTGTATTAGATTAATAATGGGAAATGATTCTCAAGGATTAAATGAAATAAAGAAAAATTTTGAATTGAAGAGTGTAAAATTCAATAGTATTTCTGGTGAATTATAATTATTTGGAGACTAGAAGAATCTTGATGCAGCAGTTATTTCAATTAGTGAAATTATATTTTCATAATAATAGTAAGATAAAACAATTAATGCTTTGACTTGTAATTATTGTTTCGATAATATGAAAAATGGATATTTGCTATAAGGTTGTGGACACAAATTTTGTCTATAATGTATAATGTTTAGTATTCAGAATTCTTTAGGAGATATGACTTAGTTACCTATTAGATGTCCATAATGCAATTAAGGTATACTTTTAGCAGATTTACACATTTTATTAGATGAGCCTAGTTGGGAAAAACTAATAAAATTATCTATAAATAAATGTAATTTAAAAAAAATATTGTTAGATGTGCAAGATCATGCAGCCTCGATAGCTTTTTGTTTAACTCCTAATTGTCCAATAATCCATTAATAAAAAATTCCAATATATACATGTATCAAATGTTAGAAATAGTATTGCAATCCATGTAGAGTATATATATCAATTTTTATTTTATCAGATAGCATACCATTATGGTTAAACATGTAGAGAGTTCAAAGCTGGAAATGAAGATTCTATTAACATTTATATGAAAAAGAATGATGTAAGGAGATGTCCTTATTGTAAAATTTTGATATAAAGAATTGATGGGTGTTACAGAGTTACATGTACAGGTTGTAAAAAAAGTATTTGCTGGAAGAATAAACCAGATGGTACACCATGTATGGCAATTTATGAGTCATCTTCAGAATGTTATTCACATTTAACTAAAGAACATGGTGGATATTGGTGATATTAATAAATATATATATATATATCTAAAAATCTCTTTACTATATGGCTGAGAGATATATATCTAATTCTTGATATTTATTTTAAAATTGGATTTTGATTTCAAAATATTTTATTTATTCAAATATATTTAGAAATAATGTTTATTCTTCAACAGATTCTAATTATCTAAATTCTTTCAATAAACCTATAATATTATTTATTCAAATAATTTTTAATATTATCAAATAAATTTGGCTATTTTAATTTTCTATGCTATTTCAAACCTAAGTTTTGAAGAGAATATGAATTACAACTTTGATCTATTGCTTTTTTTATAAATTTAATCAAAAATTGCCAGATTGTTTAAAATTTCTTGTATCCCTTCTGTATGTTCAATAATATATAAATTTTACATATCCATGAATTCTACTAAAGAAGTTTAATATTAATTCTTAAATGATCCTTATTAAAAAAGTTAAATTTTCTTAATTTTGAAACTTCAAGTAAATTTCTTCATACATACTACTATTAATTTATTCATATTAAATAAAATTAAGGCTAGTTAATTTATTAAACTTTTAATCATCATTTGTACCAATAAGAAATTTTTTTTTAATTCTAAATTCATATCATTCGTTTATTTTGGAGAATCTTGAATTAAATTTATCATATTTTATGATAATCTAAAATTATTGTCAAATTATAAACATTAATTTTTTAAATTTAAGCGATTGAATTTTTTTAGCAACAATTAACGATTTATTCTTTTAGATTTTATTTCAGTATGAAACGAGTTGCGATCTTATTCAAATTTTAATATAATAATAGGATGCTAAATTTTGCCTTTTTGTAGTATAATAAATTTATTGAAAAATTTATATACATCATAAATAATTCATTAAATTTTATAAAAAATTTCATTATTAAATTACTTAATAGTCGCCATGTAACCAAAACATCTACCTAAAGTTTATTTTTTTGATTAAATCGAAATTTTAACTAATATAAAAGTGTAATAGATTTAAGGTTATTTCAATACAAAAGTTTAAAGGCTATTATTCAATACTTAAAATAAATTTATAAATCAAATTTATAACCGAAATAGTTGCTTTAATTAATAGATTAATAAGAGTATTTTGGTATACTTGATCTATAATTTCTTTTCTTTAGAATTAAATAAAATATTTATGAAATATTAGATTTAATGAACTTTTGGAGATCATATTACTCATTTTTTCATTAAATTAAAATTATTCATTTAATTCATGTCAAAAAATAATACAATAATCAGCCTCTCTATAAATGAATTGAAAGATTAATGGTAAAAGCATAGCAAGAGAGATCTTGTTACTTAACTTGTTCGTTAGCCATCGTCGAATTAAATAAGAATTTCTAAAAATCAAGGATCTACAAATCATTAAACATCTCCTAATAAATTATTGAATAAACAAATTTAAGCTCCTAAAACCTTGTAATTAGACAATCTCTCAATAGAATCCACTATTTCGATTGGCAGTTAAATTTTTTAAAGCGATAATAATATTGACAACCAGTAGATTTAACCAACACCTTCATTGAAATCGATTATTGATATAGGACATCTGTGTTTTGATAAAACAACTAAATCTCAAAAAGAATATGATTTAAATTCTAATGAATTAAAATAAAATAGTAATGGGTAAATAGAAACTTCTAAAATTCGTTTTAGTACCCTTTCCAAAGATGTAGACAACCCTATTAACTGTCTAAATGTTAAAATTTACCCTATAGTTTATCTTAATCTAATATCATCAAATAAACTTTAGAGAAAAGCTGAAAGTAACAAAATAACTCATAAGATGTACATGATGCAACAATTAAATAAATTCAAAAAGGATGACATGAATAAGAAAATTATTATACACTAACCTATGAAGGAACCGATATCATTAAATCCTGAAATTTCAACTAAATTAGAGGCATCAAAATAGGTTTTGTTGATAAAGAATAAACCTATTTAATAGGAGAATTTATAATATTAATAGTAAAATAATCTGGATTATAGTTTTGAAAAATATATGATGCAAAATTTAAATTTCAGTTTTGTCAATATTTGTATTGAACCAAAAATCGAAAAATATAGATAAAAATTATAGTAAGAATAAGAAAGTTAAAGTAAGCAAGAATTAAATTTCCGAGTAAAAACTATAAGTGAAAATAAATAATATTCAATACCAAATTTTCCTGCAATGCCTCTAAAGTTGTAAAAATTGAAAATGGAAACTGTCAACAACAAATAAAATTAAATTTGTGAAAATAATAAATTATTATTTGATGAAACAACTGATGAAGAAAATCAAATGAAATCCTCAATCATGGATTTATAATTTAATTTACTAAAAAAAGATTAAATTCCACTATTTTAATTATTGATTCTAATAGGAAAAGAATAAGTCAATGATAAACAAGTATTATGGTAAGATTAAATTTAGATAAAAAACAATCCAAATTCTTATTATAATAAATTGGATTGTGATTAAATTGGTATCAATGATATTAAAGTTGAATTATCTCAAAATATTATGAAAGATTGTAAAGTAAATTAAGAAACTAGTAGTAAATAGACTATTCAAACAAAATAATTTATGTTAACTAGTTTAATTAAAGATAGAGAAGATTAACCAAATTAAAATATGAGATATATGAATGGTTTATAATTTAATGAAAATTTATTGAAGGTTAACTATGAGATAGTATAACCGAAGGAAAAGCCTCAATATCCAACACTTCTTTAGATGAATAGAATGAAGATAGAAAAGATAAAGGAATTGATTATTGAAGGAAAATCATAAAAATCATTTTTTAAAACTAAACAGCAAGAAAAATAATAAAATTACGCTTCTGGAATCTAAATTAGATAGATTACAGAAAATAATTATAGTCCAAAAAAATATATATTACATGGAAGCTTAATTGTAGAGGAAGCAAAAGAGAGTTAATTTAACAAAAGAAGTTCAAGTATTGACAAAGGTAAAAAAAATATGAAAATGAGTAAATTCCAGTTTTAAATTTTAAATAGATTCCAAAAGATAAAATATTTAGGAAGGGGTAACGTTAGTGATGCATATTCAGTAATTGATTAATAAACTGGAATGGCACTAGCTTTAAAAACGATTTAAAAATCTTTAATTTAAAGTAAAGGTATAAATACTTTGATATTTAATGAGATTAAAACTTAAATGTTATTAAATCATCCAAATATTCTGAAATGTTATGGAATAATTGATGATAAAAAATAGGTATATAAACTATATTTTATATTAGATTGCATTAATCTTAGAATTAAGTGATTAGACTTTATATAATCTGATTCGAAATACTACAATTAATAGAAAAGAAATGGTTGATATTTTGTATCAGGTATTAAGTGCTGTTAATTATTTACATAACAATGGTATAATTCATAGAGATATAAAGCCTGAAAATATCCTAATTTCTTAAAATGTAATAAAACTGGCTGATTTGGGTATTTCTATAAGAGCTTAAAGTTGTTCACAATATTGTGGTACTTAAGGATATATGGCACCTGAAATTAAATTACATGAAAAATACACTTCGAAAGTAGATTGTTATAGCATAGGTGTTTTAATTTATGAAATGCTTTATAAGAAATTACCTTTGCAAACTCTATATCCAATAAAAAATATAAAGAATGATTTATTGATTGATTTAATGAATAATTTAGTTGAACCAAATTAGAATTTCAGATATTCTTGTTCTTAAGCTCTTGATCATGAACTTTTTGGTAAACTCATATATCCTTAATTAATACAAACTTTAATACAGAACAGTNATTTATTGAAGGTTAACTATGAGATAGTATAACCGAAGGAAAAGCCTCAATATCCAACACTTCTTTAGATGAATAGAATGAAGATAGAAAAGATAAAGGAATTGATTATTGAAGGAAAATCATAAAAATCATTTTTTAAAACTAAACAGCAAGAAAAATAATAAAATTACGCTTCTGGAATCTAAATTAGATAGATTACAGAAAATAATTATAGTCCAAAAAAATATATATTACATGGAAGCTTAATTGTAGAGGAAGCAAAAGAGAGTTAATTTAACAAAAGAAGTTCAAGTATTGACAAAGGTAAAAAAAATATGAAAATGAGTAAATTCCAGTTTTAAATTTTAAATAGATTCCAAAAGATAAAATATTTAGGAAGGGGTAACGTTAGTGATGCATATTCAGTAATTGATTAATAAACTGGAATGGCACTAGCTTTAAAAACGATTTAAAAATCTTTAATTTAAAGTAAAGGTATAAATACTTTGATATTTAATGAGATTAAAACTTAAATGTTATTAAATCATCCAAATATTCTGAAATGTTATGGAATAATTGATGATAAAAAATAGGTATATAAACTATATTTTATATTAGATTGCATTAATCTTAGAATTAAGTGATTAGACTTTATATAATCTGATTCGAAATACTACAATTAATAGAAAAGAAATGGTTGATATTTTGTATCAGGTATTAAGTGCTGTTAATTATTTACATAACAATGGTATAATTCATAGAGATATAAAGCCTGAAAATATCCTAATTTCTTAAAATGTAATAAAACTGGCTGATTTGGGTATTTCTATAAGAGCTTAAAGTTGTTCACAATATTGTGGTACTTAAGGATATATGGCACCTGAAATTAAATTACATGAAAAATACACTTCGAAAGTAGATTGTTATAGCATAGGTGTTTTAATTTATGAAATGCTTTATAAGAAATTACCTTTGCAAACTCTATATCCAATAAAAAATATAAAGAATGATTTATTGATTGATTTAATGAATAATTTAGTTGAACCAAATTAGAATTTCAGATATTCTTGTTCTTAAGCTCTTGATCATGAACTTTTTGGTAAACTCATATATCCTTAATTAATACAAACTTTAATACAGAACAGTCTAACAAAATTACTGTGAAATTATATACAGAAATTAATGGATTTATTATATTTAATTTAAAAATAATATTATTATAAAATGTAGATCAAATTTAAATAAATAATTTTAAATATTTTGAACATAAGATATCTAAAATAATTAAAAAAATAAAACTGTTATATAAAATATAAAATTCATTAAATAAAAGACCAATCAGACAATCTTTAACTAGATTAAGATTGATCTCCGAATTTCATCTAGAAATAAAAAAATAATTTACATCAATAATTTCTTTAATCCATGATTTAGTATTGTCCTTTTCAATGAAAGGGCCATCTTATACTTTATTATAAATATCATCCCAATTTATATTTTTGAAGAATGAATGTTTTTTAATTTCTTCAGCATCTGTTTTAGCTCCTAATCTTTAAGAAGGATCTCTAACTAAAAGTGATCTAATTAAATCTTTAGCTTCTTCACTCATAGATTTAGGGATTCTTAAAACTCCTTTTTTAATATTTTCAAATAGCATCTCTCTATCTTAATGATAATAAGGTGGCATTCCAACAATCATTTCATAAAGTAGAACTCCTAATAAATACCAATCAACTGTTCTTGAATGACCTCTTTTCATTAAAACTTCTGGAGCAAGATAAGCTATTGAACCACAAAAACTTTTGGTAATATTATCATAAACTCCTTCTTTAGATAATCCAAAATCTGTTAATTTTGCATGTCCTTTAGAATCCAATACAACATTATCAGGTTTGAGATCTCTAAAGATGATACAATTTTTATGTAAAGATTCTAAAGCCAAAATAATTTCACAAATATAAAATCTAGCTACATCTTCATTAAGTTTAACATGTTTAGTTAATAAATTTCCTAAATCACCTCCTGGACAAAAATCTAATACCATAAATAACTTTGATGAATTTTAAAATGCTGCATGTAATCTAACTATAAAAGGATGTTTCATAACACTAAGAACATTCTTTTCTGTTTATGCATATCTTGTTAAATTCTTAGCAAGTACTCTCTCTTTACAAAGAGTCTTTATAGCATATTATTCTCCATCTAATTTTCTAGTTGCAAAATAAACTTCTCCAAAACTACCTTTACCAAGTAATTTATGAAATATATATCCTTCTGGGGAAGAAACCTAATTAATTTATATTATACATTAACACTAACATCTATAAATTAAGGAATAGCTTGAGATTCTATTATAGGCTATTCTTTTTAAATCACTATTTATTATGATTATTTTACACTTTCCATTTTTGATAATTCATTTACTTTACCTAATAATCTTTCAATATGATCAGCTCTAGAGTTTCTAACTACTTATCCACAAATCAATGATCTAGATTGATAACCTTCAGAATTTGGAACATATTTTTAAAGAAGTTATCTTACATCTGACGACATTGTCATATCATAAGGTAACTTTTAACGGGAATTCTTTAAATTAGCTAATATATATTATCATTTTATTAATATACCATCTGCTCCATTTTTTAATAAATATTCAACTATTTATATATCTCCTATTTCAGAAATAATATGCAAAGGTGTATTTAAATCAGAGTCTTAACAATTTAAATCAACTTTATAATCAACTAAGAGTTTAACTATTTCTAAGCTTCTTCTTAAACATGCTAAATGTAAGGGAGTACTTTTCATTTATGTACATAAATTTGGATTAGCTTTAGAATCAAGCAGCAACTTAACTATTTTTACCCTTCTGTTATTTACAGCATGATGTAAAGCTGTCCAATCATCTAAACCTTTACAATCAATATTTATAAATCCAATAAAATCTTTATAATCTTCTCCAATTAGAGTGGAATTGTTTGATCGATTTTATTATTAAACTTATTATTTTAAATCATTTTAATCTTTGAGCAATCTTGTAACAACTTCTTCATCTCCTTTTTCACATGCATCATATAATTTTTCATTTATTTCTTCCATTTTTGTCCAAAAAGTCTTCCACCTACTTTTCTTTGAATTCAATGGTGTATATTATTTAAATTCAATCTCTAATTCACCAAAATTATTAACACTGTATGTATCTCCTGTATCTAAATTTTTTATAAATTAACATGGGTCAATATCATCATCATCAATATTTTTTTACATATTAAAATATATATAAATCAATGAATATAAAATAAATTTACATTCCTATAACAAAACTTATTGTTTAAATTTTAGTTAATACAACATAAATAAACTATTTATCACTCTTATATACTTTTTGTTAATATTTATATTTAAATTATAAATTTCTGAAAGTATTAAATCAAAAACAATTATTATATAAATTGTCCAATGGGAGATATGCATAAAGGAGACTAAAGTTTATTAGTCTTCAAATAACTTATAAAGAAATAGGGCTCCTATATCCTGTAGTGTTTGAAGTAGATTGTCCATAAAATGGTCTTATTTGACTTTAATGTCTTATAAATAGATAAATTAAATTGAATTAAATAAACTAAAATCATAATAATACAAAATATTAAATAATATAACATAAAAGGATAATCACATCGCATAATAAAAAATCTGATTTCTAAGGTTTTTTCATTTGGGACTAAAGATATTGTAATTTTAGAAATTTAAAGTTTAAAAAATTACATAGAATGAATCAATCTCATTTACATGTTATAATCCGTAAATGACGATAAATATTTAGTGTTAACATTTGAGGTGCAGGCCAAAAAGTTGAAATCATAAAGGATTGAGAGTGATTATAATATATAAATCAAATTATTTAAAAATAAATTAACATATAATTATAAAATAGCATATTCTTATTATATTGATTAAATATCAAAATAAACAAAAAGAATTTAAATTAAATTTAGAAAATTATTTTTTTATTTATAGATTTCTACTAAATGAATATAAGAATTAATTACAAAATTTAAGATTTCCTATTAAACTTTAACATAGTTCCCAAAATTTTTCAAAAACTACAAGAGTATATAATAATAATAGAAGCCTAGTAGTAATTAATCAAAATAGAAATGAGTTTAGAGTATGACATAAATCTATAGTTGATAAATTGAATGATATATATGAAAGATATTAGTTTCAGGTAAGCTTATATTAATAAAAATTAGAAAAAAATAAAAATTTTTTAGGAATTAAAGAATTTTTATAGAAAATTAAATAAAGAGGATGAAAAAATCATTAAAGAAACATAGTAAGAGGCCTAAAATGAGATTATGCTATTAAATATAAGATGATTACTTAACAAGATAAGATAATTACTACTATGTTTCTCTTTTCAAAATATCAATGGATTCATATAATACTAGAAGGATAACGGATAATTTTATATCATGCATGATTTATAAGCTGGGAATAAATAAAGAGAGGGATTGCTTTAATAAATTTATATAAGGACTTAATCTTTTATTTTTATATAATGAGAGTTTATGGAGTTTTTGAAATGTTTTTATACAGGAATAATGAAGGGAAATAAAGAAAATAATAAAATAATTTAAATTTAGAAGTTTTTTGAGAATGTAGAAAATAATAAATTAATAAAAAATGATTAATTTTATAATAATCTAAAAGGGTACTACAAAAGCATCAAATTTATTTATTTAATTAATTTGGTGGCTGTCTACGTTAAGTATTGATAGAATATTTCATGATTTCATTAATTTAGCAGACTTCTTCAAGGATAACTTCAAAATCTTAATGGTCTTCTTCAATTTTATTATTTTGTAAATTTTGAACTTATAATGAATTAGATTATGTTCTTAAAGGTGTTACATCTAAAGTATTTAAGATTAATTACTTGATGAATTAGAAAGAGAAAGGCTGGATATAGATTGACTAAGTAATTGATTCATGATAGGACTTCTAGCATAAATATCAGCAAAATGTTAAAATGGAGGAATAACATTGGTTGGAATAAAAAGTTAAGGTGCAGGTATTTAGAAAACAGGTGTAAAACACTTAACAAACCAAGGATGACTTAATGCTTATTTGGCAGTAAGTCTATATTAAGGATTAGGTGATAATAAAATCTGTAAGAGCTACAATGCTAATATTAAAAAAGATTTTACCTTCAGGTGTAATTTTGTGTTATAAATTGTTAACTGTATAATCGATTTCACAATTATAATTCTTAATGACTAATTCATTTTTAGATTTAGTTTAAAATGGAGATTGACCACTCAACCTTAAAATAATTTGATTTTTAGTTACATTATAAACATTAAAATTCCTGCACTGAACACATCTACTTTATAATCATAATTTTTCTCTTGTAAGATTTCTGGTGCAACATATCCAGGTGTTCCACATCTTTTGAATAAATATCTTCCTTCTGGATTATAATAGTCAGCAAGTCCGAAATCTGCTATGCAAACATCAGATGCATTAAGTGGAGATCGAAGTATTAAGTTTTCTGGCTTAAATAAATGTTTTTTAATATATACTTTTATATCTCTATGAATTATTCCTTATTGATGCAAATAATCTAAAGAATTCAGTAAATTATGCATTAATAAAGCAACTTAAATTTCATTAAATCCTTATGGTTGATTTCTTAGATATTGGAATAGTTCTCCTCCTTCTAAATAATCAGTAACTAACCATATATTATGCTCTGTTTCATAAACTTCATATAATCGGATTATTCCAGGAAATTATATTTTTCTCATTATGCTGATTTCTAATTTCAATGCATCCTATAATATATTATAAAATAAAATACTCTTTCTAAAATAAGATTTTTAAAGCTCTTTTTTTCAAATGACTTTACAGCATATGTAAAATTGTCTTTTCCAATTGCTTTGTAGACCTATACATAATATATATAGTTACTTTAGCAAAATTGCCTTATCCTTATACTTTTAAAAGTTTATAATCTTCATTAAAAGTTCTTTGAATAGCATATTTTTTTATTAATTGAAACCATTGTAAAAATTCTGATTCATTAGACGTAAATTCGATGGATTTTTTATTTCTGCTAAGTTTAAAAGTAGCAAGTTTATTAGTATTTTCTAGGATAATGTTGTTAAGATCAATGTGTCTTTTGTACATTTTATTTTCCACTTCAACTAGAAAGTCATTGGATATAAAAAAGTTCCCTTTTTTAGTAGATGAAGAATTTGATTTTTTTAGAGTCATTACACCTGTTAATTGATAAGTTGACAAATCAGGTTTAATTTTTGACCATAAAGGTTTGTTAGGTTCATCAAACATAGATATAAAGTTATGTGTGACTTCTTTATTCATTTTAGCAATATTATATGCAGAATTATTAATAAAAATTAAAATGATTTAAGAATAAATGATCAGGCTGATTTAACATGACATAATTCTTTTTCTTGTAAATTCAGCTATTGAGATGAAAATTTATTATATATATTTTTTAAAAATATGAATCTAAGTTATAGTAATTAATTATCAGATTTATAAAGTAAGCAATGACCATCTGTATTCCATTTCATCATTAATTGATGATTAATCAGCTTCTTGACCTTACATCCAAGGATGAGATTGAATTTCAGATATCTATAATATAAAATAAATAAATAAATTACTGATAATCTCCGATTTGGATTAAAGGCCAAAAGTTTTACTATTATATCCTTTAATTCAGGTGAAAACTCAGACTAATGTTTTTCCCAAAACTTTCCAGTTTATTATCTACATAATCTTACAAAATATTACCTATAAATAAACTAATAATTAGCATCACATTTGATATTTGCATTATGAAATGGACTTGATCCAGCGCATATTTAAAATAAAATAACTCCTAACTAAAACAAATCTGCCTCCACTGGATGATATGGTTATTAAAGATATGTTTCTGGAGCTGCAGTTTAAGGTGTACCAACAAAACTACAAACATAAAAATATAAATTACTCATTCACTTTTATTCTTCTACCTTATTCATCCAAATATTGAACTGCAAATCCGAAATCACAAATCTTCAACTTATATTAATCATCTAATAATATATTTTCTAATTTTAAATCTCTATGAGCAATACCCATCTTGTGAATCTTATCAATTACTACAATAATATTTTCTCAATTATTACTAAATATTATTTGTTTAAAGAAACTTCTAGCTATGTTTTCTTCTAATCTTGATTATTGTAAGTATTATAATAAGTTTCCATATTTTGCATAATCCATCATTATACATCCTCTTATTAAGCTTTCTCTTATTCTAATTACACCTGAAATGTGACTCAACTTGTTCATTATTCGAATCTCATTTTCGTATAGTTTATCTTTTTAAGCTTTAAATACTTTCAGTGCCATCAATTCTCCTGATCTTTAAACTAATTAGACACTAATTTTCAATTCATAACAATTACTCTGCTGAAAATCCACAGCCTAATTTGCTGATAACACTATATTCTTCTTCGATAGATGTTTAAGACATATTGATAATAAAATTTATAATTTAAGAAGATTAGGATTATAATGGCTAAATATTAATCAGATTCAATGAAATCATTTTTAATTATTATTATTTAAGTTTATTCACCTTCCCTTTTATTAAGTGAATAAATAAGAACATAATCATATTCATTAATAAATCTCATTTTATAAAACTTCTCTTGTATATATTATCTATTTATGTTTAAATTCATATATAATTCATAATTCTATAAATAGCTAATAATAAATATAAATATATACTCGATTAAATACCTTATTAATATCTATATATCTAAAAACAGTTATCCATTGATCGCGTGGTGTAGGGGTTATCACGCGTCCCTAACAAGGACGAGGCCGCCAGTTCGAGACTGGCCGTGATCATGTTTTTTTTATAATATTTTAATTTATTTTATTACCATATTTAATAGCTTCTGATTGCTTTAATATTTTTAAATATCTAGATACAGACATAATTATATATCTTTATTTCAATTTTTATATTGTTCAAAAATATCAAAATCATGCAAAGTCAAGCAATTCAACTTCAAATTTCAATGTTGAATTAGGTGGGATAATTGGTGGATATCCTTATTTTCCATATGCATAATCAGGTGGGCATGTCAAAATAGCTTTCTCTCCCTTTGATAGTTTTGCTACACCTTAATCCCAACCCTTTATAACTTGTCCTGCACCCAAAGTAAATTAGAATGGCTTTCCTCTTTTTCTTGATGAATCAAATTCAGATCCATCAAGTAAAGTACCAACATAATGTACAAATACTTTTTAACTAATTATTTATTATAATAGTACCCTTTTTAAGGAAAAGATTTACCATCTCCTGGAGTAATTGTCTCTACTTTAAATCCTTGCATTAATTTTTAAATTTATGTATATAAATAATTATTTTTTTTCAAAAAATTACATAAAATATTTAATTATTATTAATATAATAAATTTTATATTTCCAAATCTATGGCAGAAAAATAAATTATTCAATATCACTTCTAACAGAGAATAAAATTTCTACTATTATTATATAAAGTTGTTTTAAATATTTTAAATTTCTTTTTATCAAATACATGGTTGATTAAGGTTCATTGTATGATTATTTAATTCGATAGATGTTTATATCAACAAAATATTCAATTTTACAATTATTATTTTCTTTAAAATATATGAAAGAAAAAAGAAAATATATCTAAATCTTTGGGAATAGATTACAAAATAATTTATAATCATTTTTTATTTTGAAAAGAGTGAGAAAATTATGATAAAAATAAGTTTGAATAAAAAAATAATTGAAAGCAATTTTAATTTTAGAAATATGAAATAAAAATGATTATCTGAAATAGATTATAAAATCAATGTTTAATATCAAATAAGGTTGAAACGCTTTCCTTTTTTTAGACTCTATAAATGGCTTCAGCTAATAAAGGAGCTTAAAGTTAATTTATAAATTACCAACAGATAATCTACAAATTTTATCTCCTAAAACTTCTTCTTGAGGTTTTGGAGGAATAGTGTTTGTAACTATAATTTAATCTAAAGATGGACTAGATAGATTAGTAAATGCTTTGCCAGAAAACAATGCATGAGTAGCAAATGCAAATACTCTATTTGCACCTTGCTCTTTTAAGACTTTTGCAGCTTCAGAGAGTGTACCCTAAAAGAAATGTCATAAATTTTACTGCTGTATCGATCATATCATCTACAATAATACAATCTTTTCCTTTAACAGATCCAACTAGATTCATTTACGCAATTTTTCCTGGTCCTTCTCTTTATTTAATAATCATTGCTAAATGAGATTGCATTCCAGGATGAAGCTAATCAAATTATTCTTAAAATTTCTTTGCTCTATAAACACCACCTGCATCTGGTGAAATAACTGCAACATCTTTGAATTCATATTTCTTTTATAATGACAAATAATTTTAAGCAACTAAATTTGCTTCAAGATTATCAACAGGTACTCTAGGTCCAAAGAACCCTTAAATTTATCCACAATGTAAATCTACAGATATTAATCTATCTACTCCTACTGTTTCTAATAATCTAGCAACATCAGCTGCTGATATAGGAACTCTTGGTGCACATTTTCTATCCTAATATAAATATAAATAAAGAATTACTTGTCTTGCATATCCATAATAAGGAACTACTACAATAATTTTTCTTGCTGATGCTCTTCTTAATGCAGACACTAATAATAATAATTCCATCAAATTATCATTTACAGGAGGAGATGTTGATTGTATAATAAATACATCTTTTCCTCTAATATTATCAAGAACCTATGATATTTATTATTTAAACTTAAATTTGACATTCTCCATCTGCAAATCTTCCAATTTTAACACTACCTAATTTAATATTCAAATATTCAGCAATCTCTATAGATTAATTATATTAGTTATGATACCTTCAGCTAGATCTTTATTTGAGGTACCAGATAAGATAATTGTATGTTTACTAAAATATAGAAATACTTATTTATACTAAAAATCATCTTCAGGTTATAATGTTCTTTTGAATGCTCGATTGAGTTTATCACCATATTGTTTTATATTTGGATTAACCTATAGACTTAATCTCTTTCTATAACAAATAGTAGATAGTAATCCAATTAGCATTAACTGTTTAGCATTATTTTGAAAGTAATTAAATGGTCGAAATGTGCTGAAAAATTTTGTAAACATAAAAAATAGATATTTTTTAATTGAAAATCTGTGTGATTTAAGCAATTTATAAGTTGTCACATTGTTGGATACTATGAGAGCATATGAGATAATATATTTAATTAATTAAGTGTATTATTATCAATAATTATATAATTTTTTATATTTTAGAGAAAATAAAAATATATAAAAGCTATTTTAAATATATATATGAAGATTGAAATGATTGATGATTAAGATAAACAATAACAAGATGATTGTATAAATTAATATTGTCAAAATGACTCAACATAAGTATGGCCAGCTAAATTCAGTAATTAAACTCTATTTTTCTGCTAAGAATGTTTAAATTTGTATAATCAAAAAAAGTGTTGTTATTTTTGTGCTTAAGTATAATTATACATCAAAATGAAGGTCTATTCTGATAATAATTAAAATTTTTTAGATGGATAAAAATGGATTGGTTGTGATTAGGAGGGTTGTGAAAAATGGGTATTAAATTTATTAATAATAGTTTAGACTCATTCATAATGCGAATAAAAAAATGAAATTTCTGAAATAGATATCTTTATAGAAGATAGCAAATACAAATATATTTGTCCTTGGTGTAGAATCGAAGATTAGAAATAAAGATTTTCAAAAGGTCCTTATCAAATGATGAATAAAAAAACGATTAAATATTTAGATAAGTTGAATCGAAGACAATCAAATGTAAATGAATAATCATAAAATATGAATTAGATTAATGGAGATTAATTTTATTATTGTCCTTCTGCATCTAATAAATAATCTTCTCTTGAAGAATTACTTAAGAAAAATGGTAGGTTTACTTAATAATATGTTAGGTGGATTTTATTAGTAGGCTACTTAAGAAGAAATATAAGTAGATCTACAAAAAATGATGTCTTTAATGAATTAATGAATAATTATGTATATATACTTTATTTTAATATTATAACTCATTTATTCAATTATTTGATGAAGCAAGAAACTATTAAGAATTACCATATCTACTCTATTAATGAAGATGAGGTTGAATTTCTATGTAACCTTCGAGTTTAGTTAAATTGAGAAGATGAAAGTGTCTTATATTTTATAAATCTCCAATAGATTTAATTACAGCTGTGAAACTGAATTCACTACCTCTTTCTAATTTCTCAATCTCAGATGCTAAAATACTTTTAATTAAATTACATAATTCAAATGCTACTTCACTATCAGCAGTCAATAATAAATCAGGATGAAATTCACTCTCTGCAGGATCCATCTTTACTAAAATATTAACAGAATGATGTAAAAACTTCATTAATGATTATTGATTATCTTCTACTCTTATTGCATAACCTGATATCATTATTTTTATTTATATACCTTTCCAGTCAACAATTGTTCGATCTATGTATTTTTATTCACAACTTTAATAAGATTAGCGATTTTAAAATATTCTCTCCTTAGTGCATTTTTCTAAATAATCAGTCCAAGTGTCTGCTATTGTTATATTTGGTGTATAATGTTAATGATAATCCATCCATTATTAAGTTGGTATATCCATTATTCTATACCACAATACTCCTAATGTTAGGATTAATAATAATATTCCAATTACTATTCTTTTCGTTAATATAACACCGAATTCTCCAATTTTAAATGACATCATCTTTTAAAATAGATTAATACTCATACTGAATCCTTTACTCCTAATACATGAAATACTTTTCCATCACCACCAATTTCTTCATTACATGCAGAACATCTAAACTCATTTTATCAAAACTACTTATGAATTAAAGTTCTCGTTAATATCATTATTACTGGAATCAACAAGAGACTTGGCATCAGTCCAAAAATCAACAAAACTAAGAAACACGTAATATAGCTTATATATCCATTCTTAAAAGTAACTGTCGAAACTGTTGAATTTGAACAAAAAGGACACTTTATTTGCTTTGGTCTTCATCATAAATATATTTACTAATCACCCAATACTAATTCATTGCTAGCTAACATATTCTATATATGTTTATTTAATTTTTTATATAATTAAATTTTAACTAAAGACAGACATCTCATTGACACATATTAAATGGTTGATAAAAAATAAATTATAAATATTCAATTTAACCTTTTTAACATTGATATTGTATGTTACTCTGTTAAAATTGAAATTGGTAAAGTTATTAATGCTAACCTTGTTCTAATTAACTTATTATTAGTTTTTATTATAATCACTATATAAAATATTGCATAAGACATTCCAACTAATACTCCAACTATTCCATAATACAAATATATGTAACTCAAATTCTCCTTTAATATTTCATAAATACTCTCATATATAACATCTAAAAATGTATTTGTTCCATCATTAGTATCTAAAAAATGAGATAAAACAGCATTTCTAAATTCTTTCATATTTATTTGTTTTAAACAAAGATCAATATCTGGTTAGAATTATTTAAATTCTATTTCATAATCAAAAAATTAACTGAATAATGTATCTAATCTGCTTATTACTCCAATAATACCTTTATTAACATATTCCTAATTATCATCTTATGGTAAATCAGGTCTTCCAAAAGATTAAGTAAATTTTTCAAATCCGAAATCATCAAAATTACACATAGGTATTTCATCACTTAATTCTAAACAAAAATCTTCTTAATACAGTGTTAATAATTACTATTTATCCTCCTCCTTAATTTTGTTTGATTTTAAAATACTTTCATAAATTGATGTTAAATTTTCTGAATAAATTTAACTTAATTCGCTAAATAATTCAACAATATCGTTTGTTTATACGAATGAATCTATTGTTGCTTAATCATAAATCTTTTGATCAATTAAAGTGTTATAAACTAATTACTAAGTCTTAAGCAATAAGGCACATGCCATTAAAGTATCTAACTTTTATGTGAATTTAACATAATTTCCAGTTAATTCTTAAGAAGGTCTCAAATCAGAAATTTATTAAGAAAATAACAAAAAACCTCCAAATAACATTATTGTTATTATGATAAAAATTATGAGTAACATAATTGAATAAGATAATAAACTTATTTAAGTGTTATAAATTCTTGAACTTAAAACAACATTAACATTTCTTTTCGTTTATTATTAATTTTTATTAATCTTATTATTTTCTTACTGATGATTTTTATTTTAATTAATGTCAAAATGATTTTTTAAAGCTAAATCTTTAATAATTCTAGACTGTTGATTCAATATTTCAAAATTTAATGTATTTAAAGATTAATAATTTAAAGCATAATAATTTTATTTTTTCCAGCTAAATTTTCCACTTTATTAAGTTAAAGTTTCTTTAATCAATGAGGATCTTGCAATAGATTCATTTGCATCGCTTTCTTATAGCCTGCCTGTTAAAAGCATTAGTTATTAACTATAATTTTAAATTTGTTTCCAAAAATACAGTTCAATAATCAAAATGACAGCAATGCAAATTACTTCAACAATTACTTGAGTTTACATCTCTTTAACCCTATCATTAGTTTGTGACAAAAAAACAATATTCAAAGATTCAATTAATTCTGATGACATCAAATATAGTTAATTCAAATTATATCTCAATAAAAATAATTAATCGAAATATTCTTTAGTTAATATTGAAGATAAATCTTTGATTTCAATTTATACTATTTTTACAACTCTATCTAAGGTTCCTTCAATTAAATTAATAAAATAAGGAAATTTAATATTTTCTGTATTCCCTTTAAGAAAAGTAAAGGTTTAGGTAGATAACATTCCTCTTTATTCTACTTCAATAAATCCTAAATACATATTATTAATTTCATCATATAATTCACTAGTAGTATTATGTAGATCACTATATGTTTACTCTTTCATAAATTAACTCATATCAACAATTTCTAAAGTTCCTACAATAAGACTCCATGTAAATGAAATAACTTCCAAATAACTTCTGTTTAAAATAAAAGGACCATTTATATCATTAATAGTTAAAGAAGTATCTTAATTACTTATTGTTATAATTACTAAATGAACAGTAATTAAGATTATAGTTATAATAAATACACTTAAACTAGTAAGTGACACAAATTTAAGTCCTTTAGTAAGATGAGTGGTGCTTTAAAACTTTTTGATTATTTATATTGCTGAATTACCAGATGTAGCTGAAGTCATACTTGATTTAGATTTTAATGCTTCTAAATCTTCTTCTTCGTGATTTTTACCTTTCAATTTATTTTTTTTCATTATTTCTAAAATATCATTTTTTTTTTCTTTTTCATTTTCACTACTAGATTTACCAGGCTATAATTATTTTTATTATTTAAGTGATTCATCAATATCAAATTCTTCTTCAGGTTCTAATTAAAAATTTTTTCCTTTTTACATAATTGCACTAGCACTATTGAGCTACATTCCAAGTGCATTAAAATCCTAATCTAATTTAACTATTTCTTCAAACTCTCCTTCTTTTTAATTTGGATTAATAAAGTGAGCTCTTTATGATAATGGACCATAACTCATACTATCTCTAGCAGAATCTAAATTGAATAAACCAAGATCTTAATCTTATTTATACTTTTTTGATGGTCCTAGTCTTTCTAAAAGATCTGTTACTCCACAACCAATATCTTTATTTACAGGTACTATTTCAGAATATGGTTATTCTGATTAAGCAAATCCAGATACATTTAATTTTGTTTATTCTTCCTCTTAAGTTGTATCTAAAATTTAATATGCTATTACTATGTTTATTATTTTAAACCGAATAATATTTACTGTCATTTATTTGTTGATTTTGATTTTCAGATATTGATTTTCCTATTAGATCTTTTTTCCTTATATCAACAATCTCTAAAACAAAAAAACATCTGTGGTAATTCTCCTTGCCAATATTTTTTAGATTTAGTGAAAATTTTATAAAATATTTCTCTGCTGGTTTCTCCTATTGTATTTAAATTTATGTATACTTCAATGATCTCTAAATATTAAAAAATTTCATTTTAATATTACTTATTTAATAATGGAATTCCATTATATTAAATTGGTTTTAAAGATTCTTCAGATTATCTAATATTTAAATCAATTTATGCTAATTAATTTTATTCCTTTTCTTATTAATCATTTTGTTGTATCGAAATTGTTCCAACTCTCCTAGATAAAGATCCTTCTGAAATTTATACTTTTTTTGGTAGATAAGATTTCCCAAAATGACTACTCTTTGGCATATTTATACTTTATGATTAAAAAAGTGTAATCAATTCTAATAGATTCTCTCTAACCTAAAATATACAAGTATCTTCTATATATATCCCTTCATTATCCTATGAAACTAATTAATTTTTGTATGAATCTATAATTTTTATTACTTAAGGAAAAAACATATATATATAGCACTAATTGATCAATCTTTACAAATTGAACTTTTCATTTTAATTTTAAAAGTAAGTTTAAAAGAAATTTTAAGTGCTACCCAAAATTTTTCCATCATCTCCAAATATTAAAAAATCTACTCCTCTTTTCACCTAAGACAAACATCCCATTATTACATAATCATCTTAAATTAGAAAATTATTGTCAATCTTTAATTATTATGCTACCAAATAACCTTATCTGTCTTAACTAAAAACAATATTATAAGATTAAAATAATTTAGACTTTGCTTATTATAAATAATCTTCTAATAGGTTATCATGTATCACAGATAAAAATGGAGGCATTAATTAATTAATATACTATATCTATTGAAATTCTTTATCATCATAACCAAAGTACTAAGACAATCCTCTTTTATCTTAATTAATTATTTAACCTAAATTCTTAACTAAACTTATCATTATTAATGCTACTTTATCCTCAACTAATGTAAAGTTTGTTATAACATCAGAAGATAATGTATGCTCTATATTAAAGATTTCTTATATAAGAAATTCGCATTAAGCCGAATTATAATAATCATTCATAATAGAGCTATAAAAAATTGACGCAATTTTCAATTCTAAAACATTGCAATTTGTTCCTAAATGTCCAATATTTTCTATGTCAAAAGATAAATTTGATAATAACTATCTTTGAAGTGATTACACTTTCTTACTCAAATCAATTGCTTCCTTTTGAAATTCCTAAATATTATTGTAACCCTTTATTAACTGTTACCAAAAGTAAATTTTGGCATCTATTAACCTTATTATATTTGGAATGTAAAGCTCTTCAAAAATTATTGATTTACTTATATGCACAATATCTAAAGATTATTTTTCTTATTCTCTATTTTAGGTCTAAGAAATATTGACTAATTGTTGTTTTTAAACACTCTATTGTAAATTGTTGTTGATTTATTTCTTCATAAATTTAAAGAAGTAGGATTATTGTTATTAATTAAAAACATCATACTTTCTAAATTCAACTAAACTTAGTAATGGTTTTTTGCAATAATGAGACAAAAAATTAGTGTAGATTAATTACATATCTTCAAAAGATACTTTTCCATTTTATTTTGCTAATTTTAATTGTCTCTACAAAAATTATATAATAAATTTTCTTGATGAAAGATCTTAAAAATCTTAATTATGAATATTTTTATCTCTTTATATATTATATACAATATATGTATAATAATAAAATAGTTTTTTCTATCTCACTGTTTTTTTTAAATCTTATGATAATTCATAAATCCTTTAAACCAAGTCTATTGCTTTGCTTTATGATAAAAGTATTTAGTGAGATTAATGAAATATTTTTCTCTCAAAAATAACTTCAGAAAAATAAAATGAAAAAGATCCAATTAACATAACACTTTCAAGTATTATATTTTATTTTAATATAGAATTTTCTGAAAGAATGTTTAGTGTGATTAGAATAGATATAGAGAAAAGGGTTAAGTATAATTTAAAATTAAATTCATTATTTGGAGGATAATAGGAATTTAAGAAAAGATTATCAATCATTTATAGCAAGATTAAACAATTTATGAGAATAAAAAATAAATAGATGTTAAAACTATTAGTTTCAAGTAAATATACTGCAAACATAATTGCTTTTAATAGGATATTAAGCACTTAATTGATTGAATACTTACTTTATAAATTAGAAAAAGGTTTAAATGAGAAGGATCTAAATAGATAAACACCTATATATTATGATAATAATGTCAGAAATGTTCCTGCTAATCCAAGAAAAAATATTGGATGTTAAGAACATTTTTAATCTTAAAATTATTGGAACTTTTAACAAAAAATAGCATTTCCATAAAACATCAGAAATAAATTACCTATTGAAAAATTAATGTGTAGAAAATAAAAATTAGCGACTCTTAACATAAAGTGAAGTATACCATTATTAAAATCTGTATTTGGTGAAATCTTTCTAAATAAAGTTAAAATAGAAATAAATATAATAATAGATGACTAAATGACAAAAAAAGTTCCTGAAATTATTTATTGAAGAATTTTTTCTTTTATCATAATAGGTAAAATTAAAAAGCAATTAAGTACTTACTTATAATATTTAAATATTGGATCCTATTCATAATTCCATAAATTCCATCCATCATTAGGAAATAATAGCGCTAAAAATTGTAAAGCATAAATTAAGAGTTGAACTTTAAAATATCTATCTGATAATTATGTTGGATTTTTGTAAAAAGCAATTTCACTAAGGACATCAATAAATAAGTATCCCATTAAAGGTAAAATCAATAATAATATTTATCATTTTTATCTAGTATTAATTGAAATGTAATCAAAAAAGAAATATAGCATTGATAAAATATATAGTTTTAAAATAAGTTTAAAAATTTTTTTTAAGTATTTAAAGTAATATAGAATATGTAAAAAAAGAATGAGTAAAATTAAAAATAAGAAGAGATAGATAGATTAATAAATACTAAGTTCTAAGTTATATCAATAAAATGAAATGATATTATATGTATTTATTATTATAAATCATTATTTTGCTTAAAATGCTCTATAATGACTAATAAGATTTTTGGTAGCACTATTAGCATTAAATCCGGTAAAATCTAAATTATTATGGTTATCAACATTTTTTAATAAAACAGATCTAACATTTTTAGCAAGAACTTTTCCTAATTCTACTCCCCATTAATCAAATGGATTAATACCCCAGAGAATACTGTAGATAGAATACATTTATACCCTTCAACAAGAACTCGATGTTCATAGAGTGCTAACAATTATCCAACATTATAAGGATTAGCTTCATTTTGGAATAGAATTTATAAGCTACATCTATCTCCAGGGAATACTTTATGATGTTATAATTCTTATTTAACTCCTTCAGCAATAACTTCTTCTTTAGTTTTACCTCTAGCCAAAGCATCAACCTAAGCAAAGTAATTTGACATCAATTCATCATGTTAATCTCTTACAGCTGCTGGATTAGTGGCTCCAGTTTCAGCTTAAGATTTAGCATAACCAATAAATTCACAAGGTATAACTTATGAACCTTAATGTATTAATTAGAAAAAGGAATGTTAAGAGTTTGTTCCTGGTTCACCAAAAATAAATGGACAAGCGGATTTTAAATATTATTCATGTTTATCTGGATAAACAAGTGCTGTTTTACCATTACTTTCCATATGTACTTATTAAACATGAGCAGGAAATCTTAATAAACATTAAGCATAAGGAATTAAAGCCAATGCTTAATATTTCTAAATTATATATTTATATATATATTTACTTATATACTTGCTCTATACCATCCCAATAATCCTAAAAGAACAGGTAAATTCTTATTTACTTATTTTTCATTAATAAGATGCTAATCAATAGAATTAGCTCCATGTAAGACTTATGCTATGTAGTCATAACCAAATTAAAGACTTAATGGTAAAACTCCAATTGCACTTGTTACACTATATCTTCCTCCTACCCAATCCCAAAATCCAAATACTCTCTATTCATTGATTCCGAATTTACCTGTTTCTGCTAAATTTGTAGATACAGCTGTTAAATGTGATTCCAAGATTTCCTAATTTTATTAAACAAAACTAATACTTTTTCATTTTCATGTCCTAATAATTTATATTATTCCAAAATCCAATTTCTACATACTTTTGCATTCATAATTGTTTCTGCTGTTGTAAATGTCTTAGAATTTATTACAAAAATTGTCTCCTCAACATTTAAACCTTATAATGCTCTAATTGTATCTACTGGATCTACATTTGCTAAGAATCTTAATTATCTTCCTTTTGATTTCTATTATCCTTCATTATGTGTTCTTAATGCCTCATAAATGAATTCTATTCCTAAATAACTTCCTCCAATTCCAATTACTACTGTATTTAATAATTATTTTTTTGTATATCCTAAAAATGTTCCAGATCGAACAGATTCTGTAAATGATTTAACTCTATTCAAAATCTAATATACATCTGGTACGACATTTTAACCATCTACTATAACTTATTATCCTTCTGGTGTTCTTAAAGCTGTATGTAATACTGCTCTATTCTCAGTGGAATTAAACTTAATCTATTTTATATATAATATATCAATACTCCTGATTAAATATCTTTAAGAATGCCAAAGAGATTAGTACTATCAACTAATTATTGAAATTATCCTATCAATTCAGTATCTACCTTTTCATGAGAATAATCCAATAATATTCCATCATATTAAGTCACCATATGTTTGTTTCTATCTTCATTATCTAGTAAAGTTCTTAAATGAGTTTTAGATAACACAGTCTCATAATACTAGGCAATCTTTTATTATATATCCATTTACAAAAAATATTTATTTTATTAATTAATAATCACCTTATTTTTTATATGATGCTTAAACAATTTATAATGGTGATGCAATTTTAAAATAAAATTTAACTGTTTTTATGAAGAATATAAATACTGCTAGAAAAGTCAAACTACATATATTTTTATGATTCTGTTTGGCTTTTTTAAGCATATTTTACAAAGCTCTAGTTTATTTGAACACTCATAACAACAAAATCTATGTCCACATTCCAAAAAAACCTAAAATAAATCATTATAATACAGAATTAATATCTTTTGATTAACAAATTTAACATAAATTGAATTCTTACTCTTCTTTTAATCTCTATTCTAATTCATTTACTTAATTTTTCAAAATACTTATAAGTCCATTTTCTTTTGGAATAATAGTTGATTGTATTTCTAATTATGAAATGCTGGATAAATCACTAAATCTATGATCAAATACTTATATTGAGTACCTTTTAATGATAAAGAATATTAAAATTACATATCATTATTTTTTTTAGTTCCATCATTCCCACCAATTAAATAAATAGTTGTTTCATAAGAGCATAATTAATGAAATGTTCTTGCTGAAGGAGTGTTACCTGCTGTCTCAATAAACTTCCACTCTTTCAATTCACAATTATATTCATAGAGATCATTAAATCGAGTCATAGCAGCATCAACACCTCCAAATATGTATATACTATATCCAATAATTGTGCTGCTGTGCCTATAACGAGAAGGGGGTTTATTTCTAACTTTCTCCAAATACCAATAATTTGAAGCAAATGAATAGGTGTACTAATATTTAATTAATTTTGTACAAGTTCATCTAAAGTTTTGAACCCATCCCAACCTCCAAAGAGATACATTTGATTTTTATAAACTTCTGCAGTATGACCAAATCTTGGAGATGGTACTTATCCATGAGTTTATAATTTAATCCATTAATTGTTTTAGATATCAAAACAATGTAAATCATTAAATCGATTACTACCATCTGCTCCTCCAAATACATATAATTTTTCATTATTGATGACAAGAGACATATCAACTCTAGGTTGAATTTCTCTAGTAGTTCTAATTTAATTCCATTATCTTAGTTTTGTATCAAAAACATATAAATCATTAAAATATTCTCCTCTTCTATTAGTGTATCCGCCAAAATAATAAATATCATGTTAATGTGCAACTCCTTTACAACCAGATCTTGGAGAGGGAGGTATTCCTTTAGATGTAATTTATTCCCATTATTTTTTAAATAGATTATAAGAATGCATATCATTAACAATAGTAGTATCATCTGATCCACAAAATAAATAGAGATTCTCTTAACATTATACTACTGAATGTCCAGTTCTCGGAGTAAACTTTCTAATTTTCATTCATATATTTTACATTTCTTAATTAGTTTCAATTTTCCATTCATAATATTTACCTAATTCTAAAAATGAAGTTCCTTCTTCAATATTTTGTACTTCAAATGGAATATCTTATAAGAATTCTTCTCTTTCAACTGTATGACTTCGATAACTCATTAATGATGATTGAGGTTATAGATCGACCAAATTGGCCATCTTAACTTAATCTAAAACTTAATATTTACTTAAGAAAAATTAAGAATTGAGAGATCTTAATAATTTAAACCTCCAATGACCAAAATGTCTTCTCTTGATTAATTTAACAAACAAAGCATTGTATGTTATACACGAGGATATGGATGTCTACTTACTTTAGGTAATTCAATCCATTTCAATGTTACTATATTTAATGCATAAAAATTATCATTGCATCTTTTTCCATCTAATGTACATCCTCCAAAAATTATCAAATATTCTTTCATAGCCAATACAGCTTAATGTCTAAATATTTACAAAGGGTTTTTAATTTCTAATCTTATCCAAGTCCTTAAATCTACTAATAACCAGACATCATCCAATATAATTTATCCATCACTACCTCCTGTTATTATTATTGTGTCTTCATAAACTGTGCATTAATGACCAAATCTATGTGTTGGTTCAAATTCTATTTAATTCCATCTAATATTATACACTTTTATTTTTTACTTATCACTTCCTATTGTGTACGTTTTACAATCATTAAAAATTTTTTTTTATGTCCTCCCACCAATTATTAATACTTAACCTCTATACATACACATACTATGTTCAACTCTTCCTGTTGGAGCGCTTTTTATTTAACGGAATTTCAATTGTACTACATCAATTTCCAAAAATTCATCAAGTAAAATTGTTCCCTCAATATCTATACTTCCTCCATAACAATATAATTTTCCTTGATTCATTACAAATTAACTATTATATCTATTGTTCATATACAATTGTCACCTAGCCTTAAATGGAATTCCATTGTATAATCTACGCCATTTAAAATCAATCAAGCTTAAACTATACAAATCATTCAATTTGTAGTTATCAACTATTAAATATAAATTATCCTCATAAAATGTGCAAGGATTTGTTATTTTATTTGGTAATGTTCCTTATAAACGTTGAATCTCCCACTTTAATCCAATTTAAGACATTATTTGATTATAATTTATATAATAAACTTTTACGATTACTATCTACAATTCCTCTAAATTTAATATATTCTAGCTTCTATATTATCTTATATATATATAATAATTTAGTTAACAAAATATTTTCAATATTCATTTCATATTGTTCATCATCTTCATATTCACTTTGTTTTTTTCCTATCTAAAAATTCAAATCAATTGTTGCCTTTGATTCTGCTTCTCTTTCTTCTTTAAATTTTATACAACTTTACTTATTTTATTGAACAAGCAAAACTTTCCACTTCATTTGAAACTTAATATCCTTCTAATAATAATTTAATTTTGCAATAATATATTTCTATCTTATCCTCATCAATTTAAGTTTAGAAATTTCTATTTATTATTGTAAATCTTCTTTCTCTATCCTCAAATCTTTATTTTATTTTATTTCTAATCTAATTCTATTTATATCCTTTATTTATCTTTTTTTTAATTCTACTTATTCTATTTTAATTCTTCTTAATCTTATAAAATATCTTTTTTTAATTAATCCTCTATTTCTATTTATATCTAAAACTCTTTTTATTGAATATTTATATAATTTATCTTTTAATCTAATTAATTACTATCAAATTAAAAATCATTTGAACTTTTCTTCTAAATCACGTACTTCTTAATCTCTATTTTATTTATAAGTCTTAAACTTCTATTCCTATTCTAATTCTTTGCTAATCATTTCTAATCTTTTCTAATTATTCTATAATGAATTTCTTTTCATCTTATCAACTTATCTCTAATTATTTAATAATCTATTCATTATCAAATTTCTATTTATTTTTTAATTGAATAACAATTATCTGCTATTTCAATTTTTATAAATTCTTTTCCTCAATTTGAATTATAAATTTTCACTCATTAATATTTCAGTTATAATTTTTATTATTTTAATATATAATTTATGTTCAATAATTAATAAAATACTAAATATATCATTAATGGAAGCATGGTCCAAAATACTTATAATCAGCCAAGAGCAATCTGAAAGTTTTGTAAAATTATAGGGATATCAGCAAAAATTTTGATAGAAGCAACAGTACCTTGTTAAAACAGTTTAAAAAATCTTGATGATTGGAAATTAATAAAAGGAAGAATTATTGAATAAAATAACATATTCTAATCTCTAAATTAATTTCGAATGAAGTAAATGAAGACCCTACACCTCGATAGAAAAATAGAATTATTATATAGAACCAAGAATATGAGTACAATAAAAATGAAAAAAATTTTCATTAAATTTATGTAATCTAAGATGAATTGAAATACATATGTAAATTATTTTGAAAAAAAAATATATAAAGAAACTTAGAAAAAAGATGTGATAGAAATATTTAAATTAGAAATTTAGAAATATCAAATACATGATTTAACTCTATTGCTTAATAATAGTTATATTTAAAATAAAAAAAATTAAATTATAAATTTAGAATAAAATACTAATAATCAATGAAGTAATAAGATGATCATCAAAAAGGTAAAAAAGTTGAAATTTTTTAATTAGTGTTTTTTTTTGATAAATAAATTTAATGCTAAAATCAAATTTGTATGTTTAAATATAGTAATGAAATCATTAGTTTAGATGAGTTATTTTAATAAATTTTGATATCTAATTTTTCATTATAGTTAAATAAATAAATAAAATAACATATTACAAATTTGGATTTCATTTAATTTATAGATGTTATTTTAATAGTTTCATATTTTAAAAAAATTATGTCTCAATAATTCTTTAGCAGATGGTCTTTCTTTAGGATCAGTTTTTAACATCCATCTTAATAATTCAATAAATGAAGAGTGTATATTAATATCTTAGAGATGAGAAAATGAAATTCCTTATCTCATATATTGATCTGAAATTACTCTTCCTTTTTAAAAAAATTTTGAATCTTTGATCATCCATTATGGGAATGGACCATTTAAATATTCAATCATTAATAGATGTTTTTAGTTATTATTTTTTAGTTTTCCAAAAAGTTCTTTTTAGAAAAACATTTCATGCATCAAACATCCAAGACACCATATATCTTATTTGGAATTCCATTCAAGTCCCAAAATAACTTCAGGGGCTCTATACTCTTCAGTATTAACTAATCCTTTGTAGAATTATCTACCATAAACAACATTTCCAAAATCAATAATCTTAACATTTACTTCATCAAATTATGATTTAAAGAGAATATTTTCTAATTTAATATCTGTATGAAGATATTAAAGTTCATGCATATAATCAATTGCATTCAACAATTACAACATGATAGATTTTATTTATTATTATGTAAATCTTTTTTTAACTAAGGATTCATATAAAGAGGGACCCAAGGCCTCCATTAGAATACATTGACATTATTTGTGATAAAAAAAATCATACACTTTTACTATATGATGTCTACCAGGATGGTCAATTAATTTAGGGAATAAATTTAAAAATTATACTGCTTAGTATTCCTTTTCATAATCATGAAATGAGTTTTTAATGATCTAATTGTAAAAAAACAACTTTACTTTCAATGCTCTTTAATTATTAGATTAAACATCTCTAACTTTTATTACTCTGCCAAAGGTTCCTTCATTAATTCTCTCTAAATATTTGTACTTTCCTCCTATTATATCACCTTTATCTAAAGAATAACAGGATTCTTCTAAATCAATGACTTAAACTTGTTTAACATTCTTTTCTTTTGAGCGAGATCTTTCACGATCGTCAATAACTATATAATTTTTTCTCATTAAAATTATGTTCTCTATAAATAATTTAATCACAAATAATTCATATATATTGCATAAATAAAATTAAAATTTAAATTATTTATTCCAGGTATGAATTAATTGAACGATCACATCAACAATCAATTTTTCTCTATTTATGGAAATACTATCTCTTGTATTAATTTTTATCTATTATAGAATGTCCTAACTATGATTCAAAGATAAATTATCTTTTAGAGTCAAGAAAAATATTTTTATTTAATTAAGTATTACAACAAAAAATTCAGTTTATCAAAGATTAAAATACTTTATTGGATTTATAATTAGTTCATTCAAAAAAAAAATAGAGAAGGAAAGCTACAGAAATTTCTAAAACATATAAATGTTCTTAATGTGAAAAATCATATGGTTCAGAAGCATCCTTAAATCTTCACTGTAAACTTAAACATCCAATAATTGAATCAGAATCTAAAACATAGATTGAACAAAGCTTTTAAATTTGATTCATTTTTAGTTTTAATTAAGTCTTTTTTTCTTTAAAAAATTTGTTTTAATTTTATATAATTTAATTTTTTAAAAGTTTAATTTATTAATTTTATTTAATATAAATTAAAGAGTATTATTGAGAATATAGAATCCAATTAATTTTTATATATGTTTCTTTAAATAAATCTAAATTTTTATAAACATTATTAATTCTTTAATGAATAAAGTAAATTTATTATAATAAAACATAAAATTAAAAAAAAGGAGATTAATGCTTCAATTGGCTTTATGTCATTAATTATGATGCAAATCACAATAAATCTTATATTTGTTCACTTAAAAAGATAATTAATCATATGCTATTTTTTTATATTAATTTTTTAAAGTATATTAAATAATTATTTCTATAAAAAAAAATGACAGATATCCATTCTTAAAGGAAAAGCGTGTAAAAAGTATTTAAATTTTTTAAAATAGTAAGCATATATTGATGATCTCTTTACAAATGACAATGAAAATGAAGATGATAAAGATTTAATTAAAATATATAACTCTGCTAAGAAAGAAAGAAAAACTATAGAAGCTCACAAACAACTTTTAGATAATAGAGTTGCATTATTAAAATAGGAGGAAATACGTACATTAAAAAAAATAGAAGAAACTAGAAAAAAAGCATTAGAAATTTATTATCTAAAGAAAAAAAATGAAGAGAAACTTAAAAAGGTAAATATTTAATTTTGATTCATAGAAAGAAGAGGAAAAAGAATCACTATAAAAGAAACAAGAATAATAACAGCAAATTAGAAAATAGTAAGAAAAAGAGCACTAATTGTTAATTTAGAAACATAGAAATGAAAAAGCTCAAAAAGCATTTATAATAAAAGAGCAATCAAAGAAAATTGAATTGAGAAAATAAAATATTTAGAAATAATCGTTAACATCGTTGAAAGAAAAGAATCAAATTATTAGAGAATCAAGAGATATTAATAGAGTGAGAGAAAGAATATAAATGGAAAAAAGAGAAGCAATTAAAGATCAATTAGGAAAAAAGTTAGAATCTGAATAGAAACTTAAAGAAATAAAACAAAAAGGTAATCTTATTAATACAGTCTAGAAATTGAATAAATTGAAACCTATGAAATGGATTTGTTATAAAAATTGTAAAATACATAATAAATGTAAAAAACTGCTTTTGAAGAATTAGAATCAGCTTTGACAATGACGGCTAAAGAATTTGCTGAAAAGTATCTTTAACCAAAATAAAAAGAGTAATTTAATTTTTATTAATTAGTGATTAAAATAAAGAAATTTCTAATTTTAATTCAGATGATGAAGGAGCATAAAAAGATAAAGAACATCCTCATATAAGTGAACCTTCATAAGATTAATCTTCAAAAATTTCTATATAATAGATTAATGAGATAAATGATTAAAATCAACAAAATGATTCTAATAAAGATGAGAATAATTATTAAGACAATAATTAGAATAAAACTTAAAAAGATGAAACCAATTTATTAAATTAAAATAATAATCAATAAGATGAATAAAATTAAAGTGAAAACGAAGATTAAAATGAGATTCCAAACATTCTAGATTCTCCAAAAAATAAAATAGAGTAGGATTCATAATAATAAGAATAAGAAGAATGAAAGTTATTATATTATGATAATAAATATTACCACTTTTAAACTTTGATTAATTTAGAAATTTTTTGAAAATTTTGTTAAATGTCGCATCATTTATATTTAGATAAAATAAATCATCATATTTATCTATCTTATTTTTAAATATTTATACTTTATTTTCACTTTTAGCAATATTTTTGAATTATAATTAAAGTGAGAATTGATCACTCTTCTTTACCAAATTGAGGATTTAGAATTTTCTAAATTCTAATAAGTAGATTGCATTTTAAGAATTATTTTAAAATAATTCAATTTTTAAATCGAAATTAAACAAAATATTATATTTTATTATAATTGAGAAAAAAAAAGAATGAAAGGTAGAAAAATTGATTTGGGGTATTTAATATAACCTTTCTTTTTTACAATTTTCAAAATTACACCAAAATATCAATCACTTAAGAAAAATCATCTACTATAGGTTTATATAAATAATTTAGCAATGCATATCTATAATTATTGTGATCCTTAATTGATACTCTAATTTTGTGATTTTATTGCAATTGAATTATCAAAATTTATCTAAATTATAATAATAAATTTACATTCGATCTAAAATGATACTTAATTATCCGGCTTTTGAGCTTGGAACTTTCTAATCTTGTAAAATTTTATTCAGATTTTAAAAAGTTTCGTAAATTTTTTCAATAATTTCAAACTAAATTATCATTTGTGGTATACATATTCTTTATTATTATTTTCTAATTATAAAAATGATAGTTCTTTTTCAATTGATATTTTAAATTATGCTAAATCATCTATTTCTGCAAAATATAAACAATCATCATATTTTTACTTTTAAATTGCCCTAAAATATTAAATATTATTGTAAACAATTACATTAATTAATCTTACATGTTAATTAAATTTTCAAATATTGCTTTTGCACTTAAATCTAATTTATCTAACAGTTTCCACCTAGTTACAATTGAATTTAATAGAGTCTTGATCAAGTTTAATTTGCTTTCCATTATTTATATTTAATTTATAAATAATACTTGATAAAAACTAAAATTTATATGAAAGAATCCTAATTGCCAGACCCTGAAAAAATAAAATATTCTTTTAATTTAATTTTATTTACAAAGGAAGAAAAGTTGCGCAATCAAGCAAGTGAATTTTTAAGATAACTTGAATAGAATGAACCTCAATTTTTGCTGTCCTTATTAAATATATATGAAAATGAAAATGTACTTCTTCAGAAATAATAATTAGACTGAAGTAATGAGACTTCAATCATTGTTATTATTGAAAAATGCAATTACTAGAAATTGGATAAAAGCATCAATTATAAATGGAAAAAGAGTGAATAATTTATCTGAATAATTAAAAGCACAGGTTAAAGAATCTTTAGTAAAATAACTTTCATAAAATATTGCATTAAAAGAAAGGAAAATTTTAAATCAAATCTTATAAGTTATTGCTAAATATGATTTCCCGGGAAAATTTTAGGATTTGGAAAATTATTTCATAACAACTTTATCATCGATTAATTAGATTATGAATGTTATTTCGAATCCAATATATGATTTTATAATTACATTAAAAACTATTGAAAAAGAAGTCTCGAAAAATAGATTAAGTAAATTTGTTAAATAAATATTAGTGGCCTTTAAAACTTAATAAAAAGAGTTTAGTCAAAAAGTTCTACAATTATTTACTCATCTTTGGAAAAATATAACATAATTATAATTATAAGATTTAACAAAAAGTTCTTAATTTACCTGTAATGTTTTACTGTAAAAGACATCCTAAAAATTAGATCGAATATTAAGCTATTTGGCAATGCCTTTTCATCAAGAAGAAGACTTGTAAAATAAATTATATCTTTAGACAAATTATTTCAGAAATATTTAAAGCTTTATTATAGAAAGCGACAGAACTTTTAAAATTATATTCTAATTCTGAAATCATAAAAATTCATTTAAAAACATTATTATCTAGTTTAACAAATTTATAATAATTATATCCTATAAGTGTAGGCTATTCCCTTTAAGACTTTTTGACTATTTTAAGAATTATATTATTTTTAGATGTACATGAAAATCGATTAATTAATATCGGATTAGCATCTTTAACAAGAATCTTAAAAACACATTTCTATTATTGCACAAAAGAATAATTTAAGGAAATAATTCCTTAACCAAAATTGCAAGTGTATATTTAATTAAGAGAATTATGCCATGAAACATTCAAGGAATTTTTCAATACACACATTATATCTTTATTAGAAAGAATAATAATCATTAATTCATCAAAAAGAAATTAAAATATCAAAGAAATCTTAGAAATAGAATAAGATTTAATGAAAAAATCGAATGAGGATAAAGATGATGTTTTTGAATCTACATATGTTTTATGTGAAGAATGTGAAGAATAATTAATAAGTAGATTTCCACAATAAATAATGAGTTACTTAATAGAAAATACATAGTAATTGATATCAACTAATTATTCAGTTATAAAACCTGATTTAATGGATAGCTTTTTTTCTTTGTTTGGTAGGACAATCAAAATTTAAGAAAAATTAAAGTTATAAACAGTTTCTGTAATTCCGATTTTAAATTATTTATTCTAAACAGAGAATCCAGAATATTATTATAGATACATTGTGTTGGGTAAGGAGTTTATTTCTAGATTTTCTTAGTCTGAACTTGAATAATTTTTAGAACAAATTAGAATAATTGTATTAAAGTCTAATGATATAGCAATTTAAATAGCAGGATTGGATTGTATTAATTAGGTTTTAAATAACCAAGCAAATAAAATTGATTGCTAAAATTTTTTTAACTTACAAAAAATCATTTCTTTAATTTACAAAATATTATAAGATGATGATATATCTCATTATATTCAGGTTATTATCAACTTTCTCTACCTTTTGGTTTATAATTCTTTTGTAAAAAAAACAGATTAAATTTAATTAACAAATGATTTGTTAAGTAATTAAAGTTTAATTAATTTATTCAACATAAAAATAAGTTTAATAATTGAAAATTTTTGTGAGATGTTTAAAAAATTATTGATTAGTTTTTCTTTTGGTAATGTGCCAGATTAACTTTTTTAATTAGCCATAATATTTATTTCTTAAAATATTCAAAGTAATCATCATGAAATATTAGATTTATATTTGAAATTACTTTACGAATTTAACAAAGTTATTAATGATAATGCTATAGGTTTTTTATTACAAAGCCTTTTTTTGAAAAATGAAAATTTACTATTATAAAATTTAGAAAATAACACAACATAATATTTTATTTTATCAATGATAAACGAATTAATCATATTAGATTTATTACCAATATCAAATAATTTATATTAAATGTTGGCTTAATTATTAATAAATGCTTAAACTTTAAATGACATTGAATAGTAGGTAGAAATGAAAAATAATTGCCTTAATGTAATTGAAACTATAATTTTATAACAAATAGGAAGTATAGATGCAACATTTTATGGAAATCTAATTGTATTTTTATTGAAAGAATTCTAAAACTTTTAATAAACGACTTTAAAATCATTTAAATTTATTGACTTAAAAACTAAAGTTATCAACATTTTAAATATATTTATATTTAAAGAGGAAAAATATTTTATGGAATTATTTAAAGAAAATAAGGTAGATAAAGATTAATACTTCATTTAAAGGTAAGAAAATTCTATCAATATAATTAATAAAGGATACAAAAAATTAAATACAATAGTGACTTTATTATTTTTTAAATTTATTTCTTAGCCTATTATAAAAAATTTTATTGAGCCTGTAATAAAAGAATGTATAGTTGAGATTCAATACGAAATTGATATGTAGAATGGATAATATCGAGAATAATAAATAAAAAATCGTTTATAATATCATAACATGGAGAAAGTAAGATTAAGTAAGAATAGAGAAAGTTTTGAGAGAGAAAAGTTATTAGAGAGAAAATTGGATTATGGAAAACTAAATATGTAATAAATAGTAGTAGGAACAATAAATGTATAAATAATTTTCTATAATTAGTAAGTTATGATATAATTGAGCTTTTAAGAAATGTCTCAGCTAATTTAAGATTAAAATTTATTAGACTAACTAAACTTATTATTAGATGAATGCTGATAAAAAGATGTATTTAGTTATTAAACCATGAAATTCATCATTCTTTTTTTTCTTCTGCTCTAATTTTGCCTTTTCCATTAGTCAATCTAACATTAAGTTCAGCTGCTCTTCTTACAAGAGTTGCTCTTTTTCTTGATGAAAGATTGTGAGCTAATTCACCTGCAAATGTTCTATTATTTGTTAGTAATAATTCAAGATCTTTTTCATTAGTTATTAACAATTTTCTAAAACCAGCTTAGTCTAAATATCTAAATTGTGCAATGTATAATAATACCTTGTCTTTTTATCACCTCTATAACCAGCTTTTGGCATAGGTCTATTTCCTCTAAATCTTCTTCTGACTCTGTTATCAATACCTCTTGGTCTTCTCCAACTTGGTCTTAATTTATGAGGGTAATCCTCTGATTCAAATCTAACAAATCTCTTTGTTCTCTTATGTACAATTCTCTTATGTGCAAGTGATTTGACAACCATTTGTTTATTATTATTAAATAAAAGATTTTAATTCAAATATTCTTCATCATTTCTGAATTATATTTCTTGGATTTTAAAGAATATCTTATATATTTATCACTTAATTTACTATCCATCTTTAATTATACATTCTTTTTATTACTCTTAAATTTTAAGAAGTAATATATTATTCAATAATAATATTTTGTATTAATTATATCTATGATCCTTATATAGAAATCATGCTTTAACATATATAATATTTAAGATTAATTCAAAGATTGTAAACAACTCATAATTTCCCTCCAAAATTTAAAAAATTAAATAGTTAGATTACTAGCAAATTTATTTGTTTGAAAAAGTTTAAGAAAATAAAATAGATTAAATATGCTACACCTATTTGGTAATTTTAATCATAAATTTTAATTGAAATCATATTTTTACTGCAAAATATTTGAAATTTTTGATTATCTTGCAATTCTAAATTTTCTTTTTGAGATCTTTTTTCTTCTTATTTTTTGTTTTTTATTCCTTTCTGTTTATGTTAAATTGTTTATTTTCTGATTTATTTTATAGATAACCTACTTTTTGATTGAATATGTACATTTTAAATTTTAATTGGCATACTCTATGTATCTTAAGAATAAAAGTTTGTTATAGCCTCGAATAATTCATATTTTTAATAGTAAAGAAAATCTGAATCAAGAGTGACAAACAAAATAAGATCAGAATGAATAGTCTAACCATTATAATAGTCAGTTATTGTGGTAATATTTACATCAAACTCTATAAGTGATAAAATACTCATTTCCATTTCTAAAATTTACGTAGAACTAAATTCAAAGTTACATTATGATGCACAATCATCTACATTCATGTTAATTTAAGTCTAACATTCATTAAACTTATTTAAGATATTAAAAATAGTATACTTTGACAGCAATCATTAAAGAGGCTATTCCCAAAAGTTATAAACTATCTTGTGAGATCTAGTTTTTAGAAATATAAATCTTTGTTAATATTGCAGCTAATTCTATGGTTTTCGTATTCAGATTATTTTTCTCAGAAATCTAAAATTATACTTATAATGAACCATAAAGATCCAATGAATCAGAATTTCAAGGTGTCCTATCTTCTGATGAGAAATCGGTTCTTATAATTTAATATCTCTCATCCTTAGATAGTCATTGCTGTCGAAATCCATAACTTTTTATAAAATATTATAAATTTAAATATATATTTCTACAGAAGATGGTTTTAATAAAGATTTAATTAAAATAGAAATGATATTGGAAAAGGTTTAAAAATATAAAAAGGGTACTTTCAACTTTTGATTTAAAAATGACTATTGTATATATATTATATATTTATTAATGGATAATATAGATAACTAAATTGTGAATATTTTCAAAAATGAAATCTAAGTTAAAAGAATTCGGAAGGGTATTGCTTAATTATATACATAGAATTAAAATAATTAGAGATTTTAGATAAGAATGAATTCAAAATTACTTTGAAGCAATTGACTAATAATCTACAAATAATTGTATCAATTGGATATTAAAATAGGTTGAAATGTAACCAGTTGTACAATTAAACTAAGGTAAACCAATAAAAATTTGTTTATATCTTGATAATAAATTTCCTTTTGTTTTTCCAAGAGTTCATGTTCTTAGTCATGTACAACAGAAAATATCTAATATTAGTTAACTAAACCAACTTTAGCAGATGGAAGAGATTACATTGAAGATGTTTTACATTCACCATGGAGTCCATCTATTTTACTAAATGAAATCATTCAAAAATTACCTAAATTTCTCGTAAATCCATGTTTCCACTATTATTAGGATTAAGTTAGACTTTATAAAGATGATAGAGAACAATTACTATCTTTAGGAAAATATAATTTAGAATAGGAATATGAAGGATAATTAGGATTAGAAGATGTCGAATACTTTTAATGCAAAGAAATAATAAATGGAAAATCTTTATCAAAAATAATATAATTGAGCAATAGTCATATCTTAATCTTAGAATCCTAAAATAAAGTTTTGATTCTATAAAACTATTCACCTACTAAAGATTTAGTTAAAGTCGATAAAATTGCTCATAGTGTCTTATTAACTTGGAAAAATGATGATAATATTAGATAGTAAACTTTAATTCCTTCAAATATTGATTAATTTATGGATTCTATTCTTCTCTATAAAACTGGATCTTCAGGAAAAAAAATTTAAGAAGAAGAAGTAACATTATAAAAATTTGAGAATTTTGAAATTTAAAAACTTCTTGATTAAGTAAATAATTATGAGTAATTACTTGAGTAAGAATTAAATCTATAGAAATTGAATTAATTAATGGACTCCTATTAATAAGTAAGAATTATATTTATTAGGCAATTGAATATTTTTCTGCAGTTTCTGATGAAGATTTCAAGGAATATGTTATGCGTCTTTAAAATTTACTTGGAAGAGAAGATGTCTAAAAAGTACTATCCAATAAATTGTGATCATGCAGTTTTTTGTATATGATTTATTGTTTAAATCCAGTAAAAATTTATTAATTTCATTTATTAAATTTGATTTGTAACCTTTATTTTAGAGTACAATTAAAAGTAGAAGAAAATTATCATATAATACAAATTATTAAATTTACAGATTCCTATTTTTATACAATATCTCACAAAAATTTATAATGAATTATTATATCTTATCATTCATCTAAATCAAATTCGAGTAAGAGAAATAAACTTGGTAATAATTCTGGTATAAATTCTTATTAAATATTTGGAATTAAATCTCTGTAATTGTTTGGGCCATATTATTTTGCAATTTCTTCAAGTGAGTTTTTTTCTCTTAAATTTCTAAATGTGTTATAAATATTTAAAAACTAGTCTGATCCGAATCCTTTCTCTAAAGCTTATCTTATTTTTTCAGCTTTTTCATAAGTAAGTCGTGGAATTTATTTTTGAGCTTATTATTTTAATATATATTTACAACTTTTATTATTATTTTGATCATCAATTCGCTATTATTATTATTATATTAATTATTGCGATTAGATTAATTATTCTTCCATTTTCTCTTAAGCAGAATTTATCTGTTATTGTTTTTATTCAATTTGTGACATAAAAGGCAGATAGATTTCAACAGGAATATCTTTTTTTTTCACATTCTTTGAAATTTACTCTTATTTTTTCAATTGACCAAACAATTCAACAATCACTTCTTAAGGCTTCTATTAAAGACATTTCTACTAATATATATAAAAAATTACTTTTTTTTATACATCTTATTTAATAGCCTTAGATTACTCATCTTTTGTTAATTATTTTTATTTTTTATATTCATCTTTTTTAATAATAATATAGTGTTGCTATTTGTCTAGATTAAAAATTTATAATACTTTAAATTGGTGAATTTGCCGTTTTTGTTATGGGTTACTATTTAATATTTAATTATTTAATTCTATTTTAAATTAATATATTTTCTAATAAATAAAATATTAATTTATACATAAAATTTATTCTATACTTGGTCTCTTATTAGGATCAATTTATAATAGATTTTATATTAAATTTTTCATATTTTATGAATAGAATTGTGCACTGATAGGTTAAATTTTTCCTTTCACTATTTTAGTAGCAAGAGCAGGTAATGATTCTGCTTAAAAAGGATATTTAAAAGTGCACATTTCATAAAGTAATACGCCTAAAGCCCAAATGTCACTCTTATAAGAATAAGGTTAATTTTGTATGATTTCAGGGGATAAGTAATAAGGAGTTCCAATAAAAGTTGTTGCAAGTGTTTTTTAAACAGATCTTGCTACTCCAAAATCCCCTAATTTCAATTTGGTTTCATGTAAAAATACATTTTCTGCTTTTATATCTCTATGGATGATTTTCTATGAATGTACATATTGAATAGCTAAACATAATTATGTGAACAAATCAATAATTTAAGTTTCAGGTATTTATTATTGTCTTGATTTTAAGTATTATCCTAATGTCCCATCTATTGATATTATTTTTAATAAAAATACTATTAGCATACTCCATAATTAAGCATAATCTATTCTTACTATCTATAAATGTTTCAACATATTCGATAATATTTTCATGTCTTAAATTTTGTAAGATAGAAGCCTCTTATTTTGCTGAAGCTGATTAAGGTAAGACTTTCATAACATAGTTAATTTAATTTTCATCATCTGATGTCACAAGGTAAGCCTTTCCATAAGAACCAACTCCCAATAACTTTTATTTTTTGTATTATTTAATTTATGTTTCATCTATTTAACCATCATTTGACAAACAAGTAACATCATCAATAAGTATACGACTATCTTCATCCATTATTATAAAAAAAATTAAATATAATATTAATAATGGAATTTCAAAAATATTATATCAACTCATTGTTGTTTTAATATTTTTGAATGTCAAAACAAACAACTAAATAATTATTGAAATATGATAAAAAATAATGCAATCACATTTAAAATAATAATCTCTAAAATTATATCATAAGTTAAAAGAACAATAAAAAATATGTGTAATATCTTTTGTATTAGGTCAAAATCCTAAATTTTACATGATAACTAGTTTATTGAAAAAGTAATTTATAAATAAGGAGACAAAAAAAATGTAAAAGAAATAGTTTAAGTTGAGAAATACAATTTTTTCTATATTTATAAATTTAAAAAGTAAATTAGAATATAATATAAATATAATCATGATAAAAATAATTTTGCTTAATTCTTATAAAGCTACAACTTTAAAATTTTTTCTGGGTCATCTTCTTAAAAGTAAACTATTGCTTTCTCAACCCAGAAATCTTTTTTTTTTTTTGAAGGCTACAAATTCATCATAAAATGAAGCTTTAAAAAATTAAAGGAAATATTACTTTTTTTGCATTTTTTACTAAAGCTTTAATAACTGGCATTTCTGTTAAATCTTAGGCTGTTTTTCCTGCAACAGTTTTAATAGAAGGATTAGCCTAATAGACTAATAAAACTCTAACAGTATCACAATTATTATTTTTAGATGCCAAATGCAAAGGTGTTCGACCCACTAATAATATTATAATTTATACTCATATCTCTAGCATCTAAATCAGCACCATTTTCTACTAATAATTTTATTGTTTCAATAGAATTATTACTAACTGCATGATGTAATGGTGTTTTTTATTAATTATCTCTATCATAAACATGATAACGACAATCTCTTAACATACTTTCAATTTCTCTTATATTATCTGCTTTTACTTATCTAAAAAATTCTACACTATTAGGTCTTTCATATGCTTATGATGGAAAAACTTAATTATTGACAACATCATTTAAAGTGATATTAAATCTTTTTAATTTATCCATAAAATTTCTAAGTGCTTTCATAACTCTTAATCTTAAATCTGCTTTTGCTTCTTCATCTAATCTTTAGGTCTTTGGACTAGGTAATCTAGATGATTAAGATTTTAGAGTTCTTAATGTTTTCAATGTTCGATAACCTGATAATTATTATTGCGATGGTTATAAAGCCTTTTTATTTTTTCTTACATGACTCATTGTATATTTAACTTCTCTTATATCTTCTCTAAATTTTTTTACATTTGCAATCATTCCATTAATTAATTTTTATTCATCTTTTATTAATTATTCAGTTTATTCTTTCATTCTACCATCTATTTTATCTTAAATTATTCTAATTTATTTTTTAATTATTACTAAAAAAATTAGTCCATTTATGATTTTGGAATAAAAACATCAAAATCTTAATTCTCCTCTGTTTTTTAAGTTTAAGATGCAACTTAATCAATCATCATTTCATGTTTTTAACCATAATTTCTTTTGAATATAATATTTTTCTCTTAATTAGGTTTTCTATATTTAGAAAACCTTATTTAATCTATAAATTTATTTTAAAGATTTTCAAATTCACCTTCATCATCTGAAATGAATAATGCTTTTGACATTTCTTTAGCAGACTATTAAAGAGCTTATGCAGATTTTTCCATTTATATAATTGATTCATAACTATTTTTTTCTAATTATCCATTTAAAAAGTTTGCCACTAATTTACCAGTTGCACTATGAGATTATTACATGATGGCACATAAAAAGTGAGTTTATTATAATAATTTTTCTTTTGATTCATCACCTTTAAGAGGATTTGATTAAGCAATATTATTATTATTTAAGTTTCTTAAATTAGTAATTTTATTGGCTCTTTTTAAAGGAGGTTTATTAGGAGGCATCTATATAGTTTCAAGTTTATTTCTATAAGATGGATGAATATATTTATTAAAACTAAATGAAGGATCTGGATCTGAAAAATTAGTAAGTAATTTTGGTGAATTAATAGGGGAGCAATTCTAACTAATGAATTCTGTATTATTGGATGGATTCACTTATGACTTATATAACAATGTGGACGTTTTGGATATATTGGGATAACTTATTGTTAGTGTGCTTATTACAATGTAGATGATGTTGTATTTCTAGTTGTCCTTTGTTTCTAGGCAGCCTTTAACTCTGATTTTAATTTAGCTTATTCTTATGCAAGCATGTGCCCCAATTTGATCATTTTTATAACTATTTATTAATAATAATATTAGTTATTAATTATCATCATCAATATAATTCATATCTTGAACTAACACTACCAGGTGTTTAGATTCTAAAATAATATTTATATTATTATTATACATTGTATGTGGATTAACAATTTATTAATATTTTTAACTTGAAACAATTGGCTTATTTGGTAGTTTCTTTGCTAATAACTCTAAATCTAAGATATCTTATTCTTAGATCTCTTCCTCATCTATATAGATTTAAAAGTCTCTCCAAAAAAAAGGATTCAGTTTCATCTCTTTTATTACATCTTCACCACTTTATACTAAATCTTCACTTAATCCCCACAAAGAAATCTTTCCCTTTTTTCCACCTACTAATAAATATTATCCATCATTAGAGAAATCTAATGAAGTTATACTAAATATTCTATTTATTTATTCAGCAAATTAACCAGTTCCACATTCATATATTCGAATATTTGTAGGTAACATTTTTTTATTTATTTTTGCATTTTTAGTTAAAAATTCAATTGAAGGTATTTCTATTATTTATTTATCTGATTAATTAATTAACGGTAAATGAGCTATTGCAAAATATAATCCTGATTTATCAATCCTTAAATGTCTTGAAAAAGGTGGAACTGTTATTTTGGCTCTTTTCTCTGAACTTTATATTCTATAAATATAAACAAATCCATAATTTGATAAAATTAAAATATAATCTTTTGATGGATGTAAATCAAATCCAAAAATAGTACCTTCAATGGTATATATATTTAATGCTAAAGCTGATAATTAAGAATTAGCTTTATCAATTTAATGTCTCCTTACAGAATTATGATTATAAATAGTTAGTGAGTTAAATGACTTATCATTTCTTGGAATATAAGATGTTGAATATGCTTGAGTATTTACTTTAACAAGATCAAATTCTAATTGAAATAGCTTTATTCCAACAAAAGAGATATTTTCAAGTTTATCCTCCAATTTTAATACAGGTTTCAATTAGTTTTCACAATCTAAAATTATAGTGAATCCATTTTTAAAGGCTACTCCTAAATATTAATAAGCTGGACTGAATTACATTTCTTTTATACCTAGATTCTAAGTTAGAGCAATCTATCTACGAAATTATACATTAATTAAAGAAAAAACAAATAATTATCCTTTATTATCACCCAAGTAGATATCATCTCTATAATTATCAATAACACAGCATTTTATTTTAGTTTAAAATTATCCGATGTAATATTTATTCATTGAAAATTTATCACCTCTTGAATTACAAACTCCAAAAGAACCATCATTTGAACAAGAATAAAATTAATTATTTTAAATAGGATCCCATAAAACTGAATTAATCCTACCACCATGACCATTTTATTAATCTAAAATTATACGTTTATTGATATCCATAGTAACTAAGGTGGAATCATTTAAAGCAAAAACTAGAAGTTAATTTGAATGTTTTAATTAAATACAATAACAAGTATCATTTGCATGAATATCTGTTACAAATTTAAGAGTTGATATTTCATATATAAATATTTTACCACTTCTTGTAGATAAATATAAATATTATTCAAAACTAGTTGAAGCAGTAAATTCTTAATCTGGAGCTTTCAATTAAGAAATCAAATCTCCATCTGAATTCAATATATATAAATCTCCAGTAACTAATATTAATATGATTAAATTGAGAGATTTATTGGTGTCCATATGTTTAATATTCCTTAATGTTATTCTATTTGTAATTTGAACATTATTCTATGCCAAGTTCCAAATTGTTACTTATCCATTACACATTAAACAGATTTTCGTTTTTGGTTTTGATGGTAAATAAGAAAATCCAAAGCAAGGATTTAGATTATCTAAATCAGTTATAAAAAGTAATTTATATTATTGAATATCATAAACAAGTATTCGATGACCTGTATTTACTTCAATTAGAATCAATTAATTATTAATATTCTCCATATAAATTTGAACAGTCTTTTTATCTGTGTCAGGTAGATATTCATCAAATGTTCGATTAAAAGTATCAAATTCAGAGATTTATAAATGATTCTTAAATCCCATACTTACAGATGCTATAAGATTTTATCCACAAAAACAGATTGCTATTATCTAATTCACGTGACCATGCATTTAAACTTTTGAGTTATTTGTAGTATCAAGCAATAGTAAACTGTTTCCTTATTCAAAAGCAACTAAATCATTTTTTACATCAAATGAATTAGTACCTCCAAGAAAATCTATGATCATATGAAATAAAATTTATATATGTTTTATTTTTAATATATTTAATTTGATCAAAAACCTGGTGGTTAATATGATCCAAATTATTATCCTCCATAACCCATAGGAGATTAATTCATTGTAGAATTTCCAAAGCCAGATGGTTATCCATAGCCTAAATTGCTATTACTCATTTGGCTGGGTGGTCCTAACATCAATTATCCTTAATTCAATAAGAAATCTTAAGCAATAGGTAAAGCTTATGATTACTATTATTAAGCAGTTTGAATTTCCTATGAATATAAATATGAATAATACTTTCTTTTCTCTATCTTCATGTTTCTTCTAAACATATTCAATCTTATGAGTTAATTCCCAAGTGATTTAAATAAAGTAAGGCATAGCAAATTCCATTAGACCTGATCTCCAGGTCAATTCCATAACTTAATCAGGTTTTAGTAAATCATAACATGTGTAGAGACAAACAGTAAAGAATTCACTCTCTTTATTTTAAATGAAGAATTCTAATAATTCATAAACTAATTTGACATTTTAGGATTCTTATGCTGTTTCAACTGCATCCCTGTACATTTAATCTTATTTACTTAAATTCATTGATAAATCATATTTCTATATCTTTCTATAAAGATAAGCAGCAATTCTTCTGAATTCAACTAATTCATGAGATTATGTTTTTTATGCCAAAGCTAATTAATCAAAGTTCTCATAATTTTTAACTGATTCTCTAAGATTTTCATAATCTTCAATATCTAAATAAAGTTGATTTAAAGCATCATTGACATCTTTATTATTAGCATTTTAAATTTATTATAAAAATGGTAAAGTAAGAGCCAAATAACCAGTATTCTTCATAAGTTTAACAAATTTGCTTAAATCAATTTTAGATTGAATGCTTCTTAATAAATCATTAATTTATTCAGGTTGTTCTTCAAGATAGAAGAGAATACATTTATAATACAAATCTGTATTAGTAATCTTTTAGAGTAACATAACTAAAACATCATGTGAAAATGCAGTTGGTGAATGTTCAATCATAATATTGATAGCATTATCTGGTTAATCATAATGTTAATGTAAGTAAACAGCTTCACTCCAGAGACACATCTTTTCACAAGTTCTTAAAACTTTTAAGATGTTCATCTTTTAGAAATATTATCTACAATGTTCCATAACTTTCTTTTATTTATAATGACAATAAAGAACTGCCAATTCTGTAAAAATACCAACATGAGCTCTTTACATACCTAAAGCATTTTCTAATAA